GTAAATAAAAGTGATTACGCACAGGCTCTTCTTCTCCTTTAGGCTCTGGAATGATCACTTTCACTAACAATAGTGATCACGCCCAGGCTGCATCCCATAATTCTTGTATTTTGGAGTCCAACATTGCCATTCTTCCTCTTCCTTTCTATTGATAATCCATTTCCATGACTTTTGCTCAGATTATTCCTTCAAAAACAAGATAAATTCCTTAAGAACTAAGCATAAATTCTACAAATGCGAAAATAACTACAAATTGAAATAAAACTTTCAATCATTCTCTTTTTCTGAGTTTTTCTGCTTTCTTCATATATTTTCCTTATTAAATGAGCTAGAACTATGCTAAAATATCAGTAAAAATATGGATTCATCAGCTTAGTAAGCATATCAGCTGGATTCTCAGATGTATGAATCTTCTGAACCACGACTTCACCCTTAACAACAATTTCTCAGATAAAATGATGTCTTACATCAATATGTTTTGTCCTGTCATGGTAGAGGTTATTCTTGGTCAAGTAAATAGTACTCTGACTATCACAAAACACAGTAAGAACATCCTGTGTAAGACCAAGTTCATTAATCAAACCTTTAAGCCAAAGAGCCTCTTTCACACCCTTTGTTGCTGCAACATATTCAGCTTCAGTCGTAGATAATGATGGAAGAGACTGAAGCTGAGCTTTCCAACTAATAGCACAGTTACAGAGAGTAAATATGTAACTAGAAAGAGATCTTCTTTTGTCAAGATCCCCACCATTATCCGAATCAACAAAACCTGTAACTTTAGTTGATGCATGATTTCTGTCAAATACCAAGCCAATATCAGAAGTACCTTTGAGATACCGAAAAATCCATTTTACAGCACTCCAATGATCCTTTCCAAGATTATGCATATACCGACTCACCATACTAACAGCATATGCTAAATCAAGTCTAGTGCATACCATATCATACATAAGACTGCCAACAGCACTAGCATAAGGAACACGTGACATACGCTCCATGTCTTCCTCTGTCTCAGAACAAAGGTCAGATGATAACTTGAAATGTGCAGCAAGTGGAGTAGAAACAGATTTGCAATTAGACATATTAAACTTGTCAAGCACTTTCTCAATGTATTTTTGTTAAGATAGAAACAATTTACCAGCTTGACGATCCCTACAAATCTCCATACCAAGAATATTTTTAGCTGCACCCAATTCTTTCATTTCAAACTCATTATTGAGTTGAGTTTTCAATTTCCTGATCAGAGACTTGTCACGTGATGTAATCAATATATCATCAACATATAGTAACAAGTATATGTAAGATTCATCAGGAAGTTTTTGAAAATAATATAGTCGTCATATTGACTTCTGCAATAACCTTGCCCAATCATGAAGGAATCAAACCTTTTGTACCATTGTCTCGGAGCTTGTTTGAATCCATATAAAGATTTCTTCAATCGGCAGACAAGATGCTCCTTACCAGGAACAATAAATCCCTCAAGTTGCTCCATATAAATTTTCTCTTCCAGCTCTCCATGCAGAAAAGTTGTCTTAACATCAAGTTGCTCCAATTCCAAGTCAAATAAAGCAACAAAAGTAAGCAAAACACGTATGGATGTATGACGAACAACAGGTGAGAAAATTTCATTAAAGTCAACACCTTCCTTTTGGTTGAAGCCTTTAACAACCAATCGTGCCTTGTATCTAGGATCTTCAACCCCCGGGAATGTCGTCTTTCTTCTTATAGACCCATTTGCATTTCAAAGGTCGTTTGCCTTTGGGAAGCTCTGTTAAACTTCAAGTACCATTCTTATGAAGACTTTCAATTTCTTCATTCATAGCCACTAGCCATTTTGAAGAATCAGCACAAGAAACAGCCTCAACATAGCTGGTTGGTTCAATGTCATCATTTATTTCTTGTGCAACAGATAATGCATATGCAATTAAATTATCATCACAAGCATAATTTGCATATCTAGCTGGCTTAATAATCGTTCTTCTTGGTCTATTTTGGGCAATGGAATACTCATCTTCCTGCGGCTGAATTGGAGAAGTGGTAATCTCATCAACATCATTATCACCACAAATATCAGTACTAGACTCATTGATAAAAGAAGATGGAACATCAACATTAAGAGTTGTAGATTTCAACTCCAACTCCACCTTCTCACTAGTACCCTGCAGAATATTAGTACTAGTAGAAGAAATCACAGAAGATTATTTTCCAGAAGATAATAAAGCATCCTTGTTAAAAGTCACATCTCTACTAAGAATTAATTTTTGTGACTTAGGATTCCATAAACAATATCCTTTAGATTCAGATACATAACCAAGAAATATGCACTTAATAGCTCTTGGAGCTAATTTGCCATCATTGACATGTGCATAAGCAGGACATCCAAACATTCTCAAATTGGAATAATCAACAGGATTACCTAACCAAATTTCTTCTAAAATTTTGAAATTAAGTGACGAGTGTGGAGAACGATTAACCAAGTAACAAGCAGTTGATACTGCTTCGGCCCAAAATTCACGTCGATGCCATAACCTAGCATTTGAGAGCATACAACGAGCTCTCTCAAATAGAGTCCTGTTCATTCGTTCTGCAACACCATTTTGCTGGAGTGTTCTTGGAATGGTTTTATGTCTAGCAATTCCATGATTTGCACAGAACTCGATAAAGTCACCGTCACAGAACTCCAATCCATTTTCGGTTCTGAGCTTCTTGACTTTTCTCCCTGTCTGGGTTTCAACAAGAGTTTTCCACTTCTTAAAAGTGGGGAAGGTCTTATTTTTATACCTAAGAAAATAAACCCAAACTTTGCGAGAAAAATCATCAATAATAGTCATCATATAACGGCGTCCTCCATAAGAGGAAACTTTAGAAGGCCTCCAAAGGTCAGAATGAATATAATCAAGAATACCCTTTGTACGGTGAGTTGCAGTAAAGAAACTTACATTTTTCTGTTTCCCAAAGACACAATGTTTACAAAACTCCAACTTACCGATACCTTGATTACCAAGAAGACCTTGCTTGCTCAAAAGATGCATGCCTTTTTCACTCATATGGCCCAAGCGCATGTGCCATAATTTGGTGACATCATTATCAAGCATAGAAGAAGATACAGCTGCTGAACCTGTCACAACAGAACCTTGCAAGAAATATAAAGTACCAACTCGGTTACCTTTCAACAAAACAAGGATACCTTTTGATACCTTTAGGACTCCACCTTCAGATGAATACTTGTACCCAAGATATTCAAGGGTGCCAAGAGAGATGAGATTCCGCTTTAATTCAGGAATAAAACAAACATTAGTCAGAGTCCTGACAACACCATCATGAGCCTTGATCTGAATAGTACCTATTCCTTTAACTTTGCATTGGGTATCATTAGCCATCAAGACAATACCACCATTAACTGGTTCAAAAGTGGTAAATAGATCCCTATAAGCACACATGTGGTATGTGCATGCAGAGTCAAGAAGCCACTTATTTTTGCTTCTCTTGTCAGAAGAGACAACAGATGTCATAACATCTTCATCAGAATCAGTCTCAATATTAGCAGCTTCAACAGGTTGTTTACCTTTTTCTTTCTTTTGTTTATTTTCTTCTTTTTTCTTTAAGATAAAACAATTAGAAATGTCATGCCCATATTTTTTGCAATAACGATAGGTAGTGTTGGATTTTCGTCCCCTAGATTTGGATCTACTCTTTTTGTAACTAGTACTCCCTTTTACTTGAGTTCTACCTCTAACACTTAGACCCTCACCCTTGTCCTCAGAATGGATTTCAAGATCAAATTTTTCTTTGGACAATAAATTAGATTTAACATCTTCAAAGGATAAGGTGTCATTATTACCATACAGCATAATTTCTTTGAAGTGTTTGTAGGTAGAAGGTAAAGAGACAACCAACAAAACAACTTTATCTTCATCATCGATTTTAATATCGATATTTTGCAGATCCATAATAATAGAATTAAACTCATCAAGATGAGATTGAATGGGTGTACCTTCTATCATACGGAATGTATATAATCGCTCCTTGAGACGAAGCTTGTTGGAGAGGCTTTTAGTCATATACAAAGTTTCCAACCTTAACCACAATTCCGCAGTGGTGGTTACGTCTGCCACTTCACGTAGAACCTCCTTGGACAAGTAAAGTTGGATTGCTGAAAGCGCCTTTTCATCCAACTCATCCCATTGCTCATCGGTCATGGAAGCCGGTTTTTTAACTTTCCATCTAAAGATTTCTTTAATCCGTTCTGAGTGAGAACGGCTCTCATTTGGACTTTCCAAATAGAAAAGCTAATCTTGCCATCAAACTTCTCAATGTCAAATTTTGTAACGGTAGACATTTCTAATTAAATAACTGCTCTGATACCACTTGTTGAGGTATCAATGGAATGCGGAAGACTGGATCAAATTTAATTAGAAACAAAGAGAAGGAAGAGAATAATAGAGACAAGATTTTAACATGGGAAAAACTCCAAATCGGAGAAAAAACCCACGGACAACGACAAGCAAAATAATTCCACTATGTAAAAGGGATAGTACAAGAAGTCCTCTAAAATTATGAGGACAAAGAGTAATAAATCTCTCTATTTTTTTCTCTTAATAAACACTCTCTCAAAATGGAATAAGAGTTACAAAATAACACTCACAATTTTCTCTCAGTAATTTTTTCTCACTGATCCGTGAACAATGTGCCTCGCTTCCTTCGTTAATTCGTTGCCTTTTATAGGCAAAAAAACTGCTACAGTGATTTGTTAATTTTTCAATGTTGCTACAGTAACTTACTATAGCATTTTGACAAATCTAGAGGACTGTGCCAACTGAATTTGAAAACTGAGACACAAAAAAATGGTGCCTACAAATTTTAACTAACACCATCCAATTTTGACTAACATTTGGCGTAGAACCTTCTCTGCTGGATCATTCATATTATTTTCAAAGAGAGCACGAAACAATTATTTCAAAAGTTATTGCATCCGGAACGCATCCATTGTCTTTCATTTTTTAGCACAAGGATAATGCTTCATCAATCATGCCCTGTTTACCAAGACCATTGATCATAGCATTATATACCGTCACATCCAGGGAACAACCTTTAATCAATAAATCTTTAAAAATCTCCTGTGCTTTCTTCAGTCTTCTACAAAGTCCATCAACAAGTGTGGCGTAGGTATAGACACTAGGACAAATGCCCTTCTTTACAAGACTGTCGAATAATAAAATTGCTACGTCTGCATTATTATTCTTGAATAAGCCGTCCATTATAGTATTTAAAGTAACTATGTTTGCATGTAAACCCCTTACATGCATTCTACCAAAGAGCTTCCAAATATAACAAATGCAAAACCTTTCATCAGGCAATTGTAAGTCTGTATATCTGGAACAATCCCTTTGCAATGCATTTCTTCAAAGAGATTCAACGCTTCATGAATCATTTTAGCCTTACATAATCCATTAATCAAAGTGTTGTAGCTTGTTACATCAGGCTTTACATCAATTCGCATCATATAATTCAATAAATATTGTGCACTCTGTATTTTATCAACCAAGCAATATCCCTCCATTAATGAATTAAAAGCGACAACATCAGGTTTCATATCTTCTTTGTCATCACAGCAAACATATTTTTAGCTTCTCTCGCATTTCTATTCTTACACAAGGCAATAATCCATATGCTTAACGTCTGAATACCTGGTTTTGATGCTTTTTGATACCATTTCGTTGAACAAAGCAACTGCTTCTTTCACTTCACGCAAAAGACAAAGGCCATGTAGCAGTGTATTATAGGTGATTTCGTCCGCATATATATTTTTGGAAATCATTTCTGAAAAAAGATCCAATGCCTTTGTCACACGTGATTCCCTGTTGATAATTACATTGTAGACATCAGGCTGTATGAAACGTCCTTCAACCAGTCTAAGCAGCTCTTGTTTCCTCTGCTTTACAGAGGCCATTTGCTAGTGTCGCATAGGTGATGACGTCAAAAACAAATCCACGTAATTTCAGCTTGTGGTGAAGATGGAGTGCTCTTCTGACATTGCCACTATAACATAGACCATTTAAGAATGTATTGAAAGTGATGATATTTGGCTAATAACCCAGCATGATGACTCTCGCCAATACCGAAGATGCCAAGGTCATATGACGCATTTTTGATAAACTATCGATAAGGCAATTAAAGGTAACAATGTCTGGTTGAATTCCCATACTTTGCATTTTTTGAAAAAGCTGAATAACAGCGACGAGATGCCTATTCCTTTTACAATGTCCCAAAATCTTGTTATATTCAAAGATGGAGGAGAAAGGATTACGCAGCATGTTATGGAATGACTTAAGAATAATATGCAGGGGAATGGGCGAAGAGCCAGCGGCAGAGTAAGGTTTGACAAGCGCTGGATATCTTAACATTGAGGAAGAAAATATTCTTGCCGCCATTGCCATGAGTGTGAAAATCGGTGAGTGAGTGTGAAAAGATTCCCGCGACCTTTCCTATGAAAAGGAGACGCGTGGCTAACAGACTCAAATGGCATGCTCATGCTCACCGCGTCCTTTTCCATCCATCATTCAATTTAACAAGATTTTGGACGTACGTGCAGGTATGGCTCGATCTTTTTATGTTCACGTAGATTTGATGATAATTTCCTTATTAATTTGCTTTTCTAGATTTTCATTTAAGATTGTTTAGTTTCACTGATGGTGTGTCATATTGCATGTTCTAGAAAGTGGGCTATACACATAACTTCTCAGTGCAGATACTTCTTACAATTTACGGCTAAAATCTATTGCAATCGACTCAAAAGAAAAGAAATTTGAGTATAACAGTGACAATAGTGAGACCAAAATGACGTGGGAAGTCTCATACACCATTAACTGGTTCAAAAGAGCCTATTCCTTCAACTTTGCATTGGGTATCATTAGCCATCAAGACAATACCACCATTAACTGGTTCAAAAGTGGTAAATAGATCCCTATAAGCACACATGTGGTATGTGCATGCAGAGTCAAGAAGCCACTTATTTTTGCTTCTCTTGTCAGAAGAGACAACAGATGTCATAACATCTTCATCAGAATCAGTCTCAATATTAGCAGCTTCAACAGGTTGTTTACCTTTTTCTTTCTTTTGTTTATTTTCTTCTTTTTTCTTTAAGATAAAACAATTAGAAATGTCATGCCCATATTTTTTGCAATAACGATAGGTAGTGTTGGATTTTCGTCCCCTAGATTTGGATATACTCTTTTTGTAACTAGTACTCCCTTTTACTTGAGTTCTACCTCTAACACTTAGACCCTCACCCTTGTCCTCAGAATGGATTTCAAGATCAAATTTTTCTTTGGACAATAAATTAGATTTAACATCTTCAAAGGATAAGGTGTCATTATTACCATACAGCATAATTTCTTTGAAGTGTTTGTAGGTAGAAGGTAAAGAGACAACCAACAAAACAACTTTATCTTCATCATCGATTTTAATATCGATATTTTGCAGATCCATAATAATAGAATTAAACTCATCAAGATAAGATTGAATGGGTGTACCTTCTATCATACGGAACGTATATAATCGCTCCTTGAGACGAAGCTTGTTGGAGAGGCTTTTAGTCATATACAAAGTTTCCAACCTTAACCACAATTCCGCAGTGGTGGTTACGTCTGCCACTTCACGTAGAACCTCCTTGGACAAGTAAAGTTGGATTGCTGAAAGCGCCTTTTCATCCAACTCATCCCATTGCTCATCGGTCATGGAAGCCGGTTTTTTAACTTTCCATCTAAAGCTTTCTTTAATCCGTTCTGAGTGAGAACGGTTCTCATTTGAACTTTCCAAATAGAAAAGCTAATCTTGCCATCAAACTTCTCAATGTCAAATTTTGTAACGGTAGACATTTCTAATTAAATAACTGCTCTGATACCACTTGTTGAGGTATCAATGCAATGCGGAAGACTGGATCAAATTTAATTAGAAACAAAGAGAAGGAAGAGAATAATGGAGACAAGATTTTAACATGGGAAAAACTCCAAATCGGAGAAAAAACCCACGGACAACAACAAACAAAATAATTCCACTATGTAAAAGGGAGAGTACAAGAAGTCCTCTAAAATTATGAGGACAAAGAGTAATAAATCTCTCTATTTTTTTCTCTTAATAAACACTCTCTCAAAATGGAATAAGAGTTACAAAATAACACTCACAATTTTCTCTCAGTAATTTTTTCTCACTGATCCGTGAACAATGTGCCTCGCTTCCTTCGTTAATTCGTTGCCTTTTATAGGCAAAAAAACTGCTACAGTGATTTGTTAATTTTTCAATGTTGCTACAGTAACTTACTATAGCATTTTGACAAATCTAGAGGACTGTGCCAACTGAATTTGAAAACTGAGACACAAAAAAATGGTGCCTACAAATTTTAACTAACACCATCCAATTTTGACTAACATTTGGCGTAGAACCTTCTCTGCTGGATCATTCATATTATTTTCAAAGAGAGCACGAAACAATTATTTCAAAAGTTATTGCATCCGGAACGCATCCATTGTCTTTCATTTTTTAGCACAAGGATAATGCTTCATCAATCATGCCCTGTTTACCAAGACCATTGATCATAGCATTATATACCGTCACATCCAGGGAACAACCTTTAATCAATAAATCTTTAAAAATCTCCTGTGCTTTCTTCAGTCTTCTACAAAGTCCATCAACAAGTGTGGCGTAGGTATAGACACTAGGACAAATGCCCTTCTTTACAAGACTGTCGAATAATAAAATTGCTACGTCTGCATTATTATTCTTGAATAAGCCGTCCATTATAGTATTTAAAGTAACTATGTTTGCATGTAAACCCCTTACATGCATTCTACCAAAGAGCTTCCAAATATAACAAATGCAAAACCTTTCATCAGGCAATTGTAAGTCTGTATATCTGGAACAATCCCTTTGCAATGCATTTCTTCAAAGAGATTCAACGCTTCATGAATCATTTTAGCCTTACATAATCCATTAATCAAAGTGTTGTAGCTTGTTACATCAGGCTTTACATCAATTCGCATCATATAATTCAATAAATATTGTGCACTCTGTATTTTATCAACCAAGCAATATCCCTCCATTAATGAATTAAAAGCGACAACATCAGGTTTCATATCTTCTTTGTCATCACAGCAAACATATTTTTAGCTTCTCTCGCATTTCTATTCTTACACAAGGCAATAATCCATATGCTTAACGTCTGAATACCTGGTTTTGATGCTTTTTGATACCATTTCGTTGAACAAAGCAACTGCTTCTTTCACTTCACGCAAAAGACAAAGGCCATGTAGCAGTGTATTATAGGTGATTTCGTCCGCATATATATTTTTGGAAATCATTTCTGAAAAAAGATCCAATGCCTTTGTCACACGTGATTCCCTGTTGATAATTACATTGTAGACATCAGGCTGTATGAAACGTCCTTCAACCAGTCTAAGCAGCTCTTGTTTCCTCTGCTTTACAGAGGCCATTTGCCAGTGTCGCATAGGTGATGACGTCAAAAACAAATCCACGTAATTTCAGCTTGTGGTGAAGATGGAGTGCTCTTCTGACATTGCCACTATAACATAGACCATTTAAGAATGTATTGAAAGTGATGATATTTGGCTAATAACCCAGCATGATGACTCTCGCCAATACCGAAGATGCCAAGGTCATATGACGCATTTTTGATAAACTATCGATAAGGCAATTAAAGGTAACAATGTCTGGTTGAATTCCCATACTTTGCATTTTTTGAAAAAGCTGAATAACAGCGACGAGATGCCTATTCCTTTTACAATGTCCCAAAATCTTGTTATATTCAAAGATGGAGGAGAAAGGATTACGTAGCATGTTATGGAATGACTTAAGAATAATATGCAGGGGAATGGGCGAAGAGTCAGCGGCAGAGTAAGGTTTGACAAGCGCTGGATATCTTAACATTGAGGAAGAAAACATTCTTGCCGCCATTGCCATGAGTGTGAAAATCGGTGAGTGAGTGTGAAAAGATTCCCGCGACCTTTCCTATGAAAAGGAGACGCGTGGCTAACAGACTCAAATGGCATGCTCATGCTCACCGCGTCCTTTTCCATCCATCATTCAATTTAACAAGCTTTTGGACGTACGTGCAGGTATGGCTCGATCTTTTTATGTTCACGTAGATTTGATAATAATTTCCTTATTAATTTACTTTTCTAGATTTTCATTTAAGATTGTTTAGTTTCACTGATGGTGTGTCATATTGCATGTTCTAGAAAGTGAGAACGAGAATGAGAGTAATTTTGCAAAGTTAATATATTCATGGCAGGGACTAATTTGACAATATAAAAAATTTATAAATTAAATATTTAAATAGGATGTCATAATTTGATTGGTTGTTTATTGAAGGGTTACCCTTTAAATTACAAGTTAATATTTTCTTGGTAAGGACTATTTGTTAATTTATGTAAATATTTAATATTTATTATATTTTAAATATATTTTTTTTTCAATTTTTTTATCAAATTCTTTTAAACAAATAATATATCTATATCTATATATATTTGTGTAAATTCACTAAAAATAACTGCGTAAATGGATTAAAGGATCAAATTTACCGGTGCATAGGCTGATTTATTATTAGAACAAAATTTAAATATAATTTTGTAAGTATATTTAGTACTTCTCAGAAGTGAATTTATTTATTATTTATTAATATTATTTATTTAAATTTTGCATGTTCCTTTTAATTCCAATATATATATTTTTTAAGCTCTACCATTTCTATTTATCTTTTAGTTTTTAGTGTTCTCGATCGTGTGATTTTTAGAATAAGCACACGTTCTAGATATGAAAGGAATCAAATTCACAAAAGTAGATAGGTTATTAGTATACTCGAATCAAACAAATTAAATGGAAGAATCGAACAAAAGAAAAGGCACCACCAGAGTCATTCTTCAGAAGACAGAGAACAGTGGAATGGAAAATATATAAGTTGAAGAATTAGATGCCACCTAAATCAATTAATTAATCTGCGGAAGATTAACGCTTCCCTTCCATTATTTACAATAAAAAATTCTGTAATCTTTGTATTTATATATTTGCCATACGAACCCAAAATGCAAAGCACAAGGACGATTTGATTATTTCAAGTGATGAAAATTTGACCAAAATAATCCATTTACGTTCTTCGAGCTGTACGTACGTGCAGGTATGGCTCGATCTTTATATGCTCACGTAGATTTGTTGATTATTTCTTTACTTTCCTTACCATGTTAATTTACTTTTCTATATTTTTATGGATATAGATTTTCACCAAAGATTGTTTAATTTCACACTGATGATGTGTCATATTGCATGTTCTAGAAAGTGAGTTATACAAATATACACAAATGGGAAACAATCACGTTGGCTATCGTCTTCTCAGTAACGCAAATACTTCTCACAGATTACGACTGGGAAAAGGTGTTGTGATTGACTCAAAAAAGGAGGAAGAGTATAGCAGTGGCAATAGTGAGACCAAAACGACGTGGGAAGTGTCATACTCGGGAGAAGATGGGTTAACTTGTACACTAACCTTAATCAAGTGGCAATAGTGAGACCAAAACGACGTGGGAAGTGTCATACTCGGGAGAAGATGGGTTAACTTGTACACTAACCTTAATCAAAACCATCAAACGACGTAAATTTCAAAGAAATCTTTGGGAGGAGTGCTTAGATATCGAAATCAAAGACCGTATAAATAAAGATTTAAATTCATTTCACGATATAGCACGAACAACTGAAGCTGGTCTTCTTAACGTGTCTAGTAGTACAGCCGAGCATCCCACCTATGAAGCTGATGAATTGTTTACAAATACGCCCTCCTGTTTTTTCGTTCTAGAAAAGAATACTCATGGACGTGCTGATGTTCTTACGGAAACGAGTGTTTTCATGTATGGGAGTGGAACTAGAAAGGGTCTAATAGTTAGGGAGTGGAAGAAAAAGAGAGGGGATGAACAACCTTTTATGGGGACCGTGGCGCATTATTATATCAACAACTTGGGTGGAGATGTTGGTCTCTCTGTGGTGGTGAAGATCAGAGTGTCAAATTATGATGGGCATTTGGAATTTGAAGTGGAAGGTCCTGTGCAACACCCTACTTCTGCATTATCTTACATGTTTGAAGAAGCATATAGCACCCAGACTTGGAAATCTACCATGTGTGCTCATTGTGCTGCTATTCAGAATCAGCGACGTAGCAGCATGTTCTGGCAATCTGAAAATGAAGATAGTGACAATTTTTCAAGGACTAGACCCCAAAGCCGCTGGCAAACCTCTTCGAGTGTTCTTGCTAATGAAGGTGCTATTAGGGGTAACAACAACGGCAACTTCAGCGTGAATAAGCTTTTCTTGAGTGGAAGATAATTTAATTAAGGTATGGCAGTTTTTTTTTAGCACACAATAATTTCATGTTTGCGGAAACTCAAAGTTGTTGCACTCTCTGCAATATGATTTCTGTAACAAATGATCATCCGTTCTTGGGGTGCAGTGTACGTATCTTATCATATTTAGAGGAGACTGCAAATCGCTTTACAAGTAATGTCTGATCACGTTTTGTGCAATACATCGGATGAAAATAAAGTTGAAGGCATAAGATGTTAGTGCGTTGGTGTGTTTAGACCAGCATTTTGTAATCTTTAAGTTTGAATAAATTTGATATTGTAGACTTAGTTTTATTTAAAAATCAGTTTAACATGATATAGTTTATGTTTAAAATTTTTATATTAAAAGTATATTTGTAATAAAATTTAGTATGAAATTTTCAATAATTCAACAAAAATGTTACCATTTACAATTTATCATGATAAGTTAACTATATTCAAGAATGGTCAAACATAAATTTTTTTTTATATACAATCACGTTAGGAAATAAACATAATTATATAAACATCAATTGTAATAATTAGGCTATTTGAATCCAACAAATGGAAGAATCGAACAAAAGCAACAGCATCATTGGTATGAAAACTATATGCGTAAAGGATTATCATCGCTTGTATAGCCTATTTTTGAAGTGTAAAGGTGAAAGGAAGAGAAACAAAAAAAAGTAAAAAGAAAAATATTATATGATAAAAAAATTCATATTAGTGTTAACAATAAATAAAAGAGCTTATTAAACAAGAGGTCATGATTTTAAATTATTTAAGATTATTAGACAAATAGATTACTTAAAAAACATACAGTATATCCTCTTGGATAGAGGCAAGACACTTAATACAGTTGGGAAAATCTGTGGCCATTGACTCAATAGGACAAAAATAGTGTATTATAAAGACAGGTGAAATAGAAACGACGTGGGAAGTGTTATACACCGCAGAAGATAAGTTAACTTTACGTACACTCACCTTAATCAAGACCACTAGAGGAGATGCATTTGACAAAACGTTAGATGATTAAAGACATGCATTTCTGTGTTTTGTCTTGATTATTATTAAAAAAAAAAACTAAAACGTTAGATGATCATAATTCTATCAAACCATTTACCTTTTGGATTACTTTCGAGTTTATTAGAAGGAGAATGAACGCACATCTATACATCCAACTCGTCACTTCTCTCAGATTCACTACCTATCGAGTTACTAATTTCCAGCACCTCTTTAATCTACCCACGGTGACAGTCGATCATTTCATTGATAATGGAATGTAAATAGGACTAATCTAGAAAGGATAGTTTTAAATTAAATTAGTAGGAGTGGGTGTGTCTTACGATTCGTCTTGTAAAAATTTTAACTTTACAACTCTTTATATACACATATAATTATTTAATTATGGTTTGACAAAAGTTTGTAGTTTAAGAAATGAAATATCTAGCTTATTATTACTGTAATTAAATATTTATTTAGAAATTTTATCAAAATTAACTTAAGTTTTATCATAACTTAAATAAATAACTGAAATAATATAATATAGTAAAATTGAAATTTTCACTTATCTAAATTATGAATTAGACCTTCATATTCAAGTTTTAAAATAATTTATAAAATGTGATTTGTATTTAAAATAAGAAAAAAAAATATCTCCATGTTACGATAATTTAAAGTTAACATTTTAAGTGCTTTCTTAATATTAAAACAATAAATTTCTTTTTCACGAATAAAATAGATTTACTTTAAATTAAATTATATTATAATTCATAATGTTATATAAGAAATGTTAGTAATACATTTTCTCTAATATATTCTTTATTATTAACTAAAATTTATTAAAAACTAAAAAAATATGAAAAAAATATAATCTTAAAAATAAAATTTACGTAATTTTTAATAAATTTTAACCAATTCTAAATATGCTATAAAAAGTGTATTACTAGCATTATTCAATGATTTATTATAAAACTTATGTTATAAGATCTAATGCACTCTTAGATCAGCTCACTCCGAATTCAGAGTATTATATGAATTTGCGCATCACTTATGCTACACTTTTTTTAATGAACAGCTCTATAATTTTTACACCATGGCACACACAAACAAAGAATAGGAAGTAAAAGAGACTGAACAAGTTTGAAGACCAAAAGCAAAGAATCGTGCTCTTCTTCTATCACTTCTTCTTTGTTTCTTTGCCATATTTGAAAAAGAAAAAAAAACTATTAAAAATATCTTGTTTACCTTAAATCCACCATAATCTACTATTAAAAAAAAAGATGGGTAAAGGCATCCTAATTAGTTCTTTAAAATCTATCATAAATGTTTTATTCATCGCATCATACTCATTACAAACCATTGATTGTAACTTACTCATAATACAAGACAAACAAAATGACTTCTGATAAGTGACCGATCACATAGGTGACACTAACAACATAAAGTTTCACAGAATGACCAGTAATAGTTGAATTATAGTCCCCATATTTCTACAGCTTTAGTGCAAAGATCAACTTGCAGTTTACGATGACAATTATGTAATCTTCAAGCAATACTAGCATTTAAAATATTAAATCAGACTAGATGGTGAACTAAACCAAATTAACCTTGAACTAATTCAACCAAGAAACTAAAGAACCATCAGTTACTTTTCTGTATAACACAAAAAACCAAAACAAAAATGATTGAAACAAACAGTTATACTAATCCAGCAAAGTCAATTAAAAATGATAATATTGTGACAAAAGACCAGTTTGAACTCACAGTTTTTACTTAATAACTTGAATTCATTCACACTAAATTTCAAATTTAAACACTTACCCTATTTAATAATATTTTGTATAATACAAAATTAATCAATTTAACTGTAAGTTTAAAACTTGTCAACAGATCTTGAGTCACATATACACTACATATCAGGTGAGAGTTTTTTTCTTTTTTATGAGAAAGAAACAAATTTTGATAATTAAATCTCATCATGAATTGGTCAAGATTAAAACACCTAAGTCATGTGAATTGTTAGTGTTCAAGTTTAACAGTGTCAACAATTCCTAACTCTATATATATTACTAGTTTTATCATTGTAAGACCAATGAATCATGAGTTACTGTATTTATCAAGTCAATTGATAATCTAATATTTAAAACATTGGATACAAGTCAATAATTCCACTTGGCTTTAGAAGTAGAATGTTGTACAAGTATAAACTCCGCAACCACCTTATTAATCAAGGTCTACCAGCAAAATCAATAAATTTCAAGAGCTCCTGAACAAGGAGAAAATAAAATTTAAAAGATGAGATGATGCTACTTCAACCCAACAGCATAAGTATTTTTATCAATGTTTTAAACGTCGTCTCCTTCCATATGAAGTTCTGCATCCACGTTCCTAGTCGTAGTACTCCGGTAGGCGTAGTCTTCATCAAGACTCTCCATAGTTCTCCCAAAAAGAAATGACTTCGTACCCATTGTTGTAAAGGGCATCAAGCCAAATGCTCGAGCAGTTTTAATTTCCCTGGCAACCTTCCTTTGAGCCTTTGCACTAATGCCAGTCTATTCAATGAACAAGAAGAAACACTTGTTAAGATCCCACATTTCGAAACAAGTAACGAGTGCAGTGCCAATTCTGAAACACCCATTATTTATTTTATCTCCATAATCCTTCATTCTTACAAACTCAACACAATGCTTTAGGACTTACCTTGCTTCTCTTGATAATAATTCCAGCCTCTGTTATGAAGTTTGCCAGGAATCTAACATTCTGCGTAAAAAAAATACTACTAAGAGCCATTCCAAAAATAGCATAAATGATGAGTTTTTTTTTTAATTATCAGGAGAGAAGTGTAAATCATAGCCTCATTATCAAGAAGAAACAAACGCTGAGTCTACGACAGCTAAATAGAGTCGTCACGAATATTTTTCCTCACCTTCATCTGCCTTCATACACACTAATAAAACTGAATCAACAAAAACCAATTATAACTATAGCACAAGATAACAAGAAACTGGCAAAACTTTTAGGCATGAATTGCATGTGAAAAACTTAATCTGAAATTCACACAATTTTAAAGCAATACCAAATTGGCTCTAAGATCTAAAGACCTATTCAGAGTGTCGTGGGTCAAAGCAACTGAAAGGACAACTCTTCACCTTGTTCAAATGAATCTGCAATCTATACCAGTTATCCTTTGTTTTTTTAGGGTAACATAAACAAGATATCTATCTTAATACTAATAGATATGGGAGAGGCCAAGATGGTATGAGTTAAGGTTGAGTAATTCATAAATCATTTCAAAAATTTGTAAAATGAAAATATGGTGAGCACGGTACACAAACAACCTAACCATTTCTATGAGATATTTATGACAATTATCACGTGTTTTCACTCACTACCAGTTTATCTATCGCCAATGACAATGCAACAAACCACTTAAGAAAATTTTTGTTATAAGATGTGAAAGTGTCTCGATAAGAAATGAAGGGCGAAGTGAGAGTTTTATAATTCATGCAAGTGACCAATGATATGTATAATGTATATAGACACATCGTTATAAAGGAACTACTCTGACACAAGTGCTAACCCTGAAATCTGCTTGACTAAGAACTTCTTTGGTGGTTACTACAAATTCATCCCTTTTGGCAGGTTTGCGTGCACCAGGTTTTGTAAGATCCAGAGCCTGTATAAAGATAGATTTTGCACGGATCAGAAAACCAATAGATACATATCTCAAAATAGACATTAACAGAGTAAAGGTCTAAATACCAAACAGTGAATAGGATATCGTAGTCCTAGTTGTTTATAGCATAACAGAAAAAACTGATGATAGATTCAAAGGCATTTAACAACATCATTGGTTAACCATACCATTGAATGAATCTGAATAATACGTGTTGTGTATATTTTATTTCATGTAATTTAAATCCTTCAATACAACATACTGAAATTATCTGTCAAATATTATCACCAGACTTTTAAAGTAAGAGACAGTACCACTAATTCTGTCCAGCCACCTAAAATTATAAAAAAAGCTGCAACACACAACTTTTCTTTTGTGAAGAAAATCAGCAAAAAGGTTGGATATGAGGGTTAAAATAGTTGAGGATCACACATGAGCACACCCATTCAAACTTTCTCTAGTGCATATCCTTGCAAAAAAGAATTTTCCCTTATATTTTCAATTGATACAACGATAAGAACCTTGGAAGAATCACACCACAAAAAGCTAGTTGTTGTATTTGGAGAGTCCAAGGCCTTATAAAAACATTAGAGTCTCATATTTCCAGTGTGGGACTTAATTCTCATACCTTGCAATTGGATCCTAATATACAATCAATGAAGATACCTCAAATGGTCCTGGATGCTTCCTCTATCAAGCAATGACGGCCCCAGCTCAATATAAGACCAGCCAGAATTTAGATCTAATTTTTTTATGGCATATCATATGAATAGAATATAGATTTAGAAATAATGTATCTATTATGGGCTAATTCTGTGCTTTATATTATTATGTAATTACAGTAATGACTTAAAATCCTTGTATTCAACAATGTTACCATATATATTCTCGGCTGTGTAATTGAGACAAAACTCTTAATCTGTCTTTTGTTTTTCTCTTGTACTCAACATGACATTAGAACCTAATGAGAGGTAATCCATATCCATGTTTATTGGTGGACTCCGCCAGTGCAATTTTCTGTTTAACACAAATCAATAACTCTTAAGTTACAGAATTAATCACAGAAGATGTATAAGGGTGTCATATTAAAGTGGTATCAGAGTTGTTCTTTCAAGTAAGGTTGAGGGTAGGGTCTTATTATGTTCAAGCTGTGTTGTCTCTGTGTGTGTCAGTTATTTCAAAGGACAGTAGTTACTCGTTCATACTGATTGATTTGTTACTTTTAGGCCCTGTTATAGTACTATTTAGGAGTTACTGACTTAAGATAGACAAGAACCGATAACAGGAAGAACCAACGAAGCAATTGTGGACGTCTTAGGAAGGATGGATGATGTTCTCCACAGGTTAAACTGAGGTCATCCTGGAGAAAACCCTGAATACCAAGGACTGCCCAAGTTTCAAAGGAAAAACGCACCTCAATTTAACATAAGTTACAACCTTGATGGAGCAGAACTCTAGACGTCAGAGATAGAGAAGATTTTCTGAACAATGGCATGCACTGATAAACAAGTAACTTTTGCTACATTTATGCTAGTGGGAGAAATAGAATATTGGTGGCATAATACCCACAGACAGTCAGAGATTTAACAAAGAGAGATCAGTTGGAAAGTGTTCCGAAAGAAATTCACAGGTAAGTATTACCCTGATTCTGTGAAACAGAAAAAGGACTTCGAATTCCTAAGCTTGTGGCAATGAAACATGTCAGACGGAGAATACGCAGCCAAATTCAAGGAACTGGCAATGCACTCGAATTACTATCAGTATCATCCCTACAAAAGCTGGAAGTGCATAGAATTTGAGGACGGATTAAGGGCTGAGCTAAGCCATATATATCATCTGAAAATTCAAGATTTCTCAACTTTGATCAACAAATGTAGCAAGCTTAAAGAGAATCAATGAAGGAGAGAAGAGTGAACCTGTCCTTATGGACCACAAAGGAACAAGATGAAAAACCAGCATTATTAGGTCCCATGAATCTAAGGGGACAAGTCCAGCCCAACTGAGTCATGGATTGGGAAATTTTATAGTAGGAGAAATAAGAAGGGGCAGAATGGGAATTAGAGAAAAAAATTAGTTATGAAGACCAGGTTGACGTGTAATGTTTCTTATAAGGGGAGAGAAGAGAGAGAAGAAGTCAGTTATGCTTTTCTGCTGTTAGTAGTGGGCAAGGGTGGGCAAACCTTGTAGGAGCTGTGCTCTGGGTATTGCAGGAATCTTTTCTGCAGTATTTTCTTTTGTTAGTAATACTTTTTTACGTCTTTGATTTGGTCTCTGATGCCCACATCAAACAAAAAGGACCATCATCCCCGTCATATTCTTCCTGCAGAAAGCCAAATTTACTAAAGGATTGCCCTAAGAAGACTATCAAATGTTTCCAATGTGGGAAACCAAGACATACTTAGTGCATATAATTCAAGCGATTCTAAGTGTGATTCAAGGTCAAAATCAGTACACCTTGTGATCGGTACCAATGCTCCAGCAATTGTATCTAATTGGAATATGAATTCTACAATTCTTGTGATACTGATAACCATGGTTATATATGTAACAAACTTAGTGCATATAATTTATAAGCTCCAGCTTGAGGGAGAGTGTTAGAAGTAACATATATAGTTTTACAGGTTGATACCACAAATTGAGGTAACAAATAACTATAAATTAATGTATTTAAGACTCTTAAGGTATATAATATTCTCCATCGTGCAATTGAGACAAAATTCATCACATAACTCTCATTGTCTCTCTTATTCAACAAATGTTACTATTGGCCTTTCAACGAAGGTGAGAACAATAATGCAACATCTTTTCAAATTGACAACCATTCTTACACTCCATCCATGATTCATAGCAAAAGTTACTTCTGTTATTTCAATAATCATCTATTCCTAACACATGTTGGCTACAACTCAACACTAACCCTTGGTGTCCTAAATGCAGTTTATCCCCATCTGTACTCCCAGTGGTTGTCACCTGTCACTCATAATAGTTATTAGTCAGATGTTGTAGTGATATCGTGCCATCATGACACATTGAGGTTAGAGCTGCTATAAACTTCAATTCACAAAGCATTGTTACAGCAAGTTGTGTCATGGTTTTCAGCCAAAAACACAATAATCATGACCATTCACAGCTCTCCCGCTTCTTGAAGGATAAAGGGCCACCGCCTCCAACCCTAATATATTTATAGTTTTGTCATTTCCCCAACATAAAAGGTGTCAAAAAGTCTGAAACCTCAGCCATTCCTTTCCAACCACTATTCACATGCTTCTATATTGTCCACCCTCATGAGCTCAAGCCCATTGATTACCAGCAGTATTTCCAACTGTTCCCAACATTTCCTAACACCGACACACTAGTTACTAGTCTCTTTCTACTCAACTACAATCATGCACTTCCTGGACCACCACTCACTCTGTTCCCACCCCTATTGTGGCTTACAAATCTTGTTCAATCTTTTTTCACACTCTTCTCTGCTACTCAACCACCTATCATTCCAATTTTTTACTGTAACTTATTTGTTATCGATGTCTTTAATTTTGGATAACTTTTTTTTAAGCATTTATAAATACATAGTATTAGTATAAATTATTTATGTTGGAGATCTATAATCCCAGTATAAAGACCTTTGTGCTATCTGCTATTTCATTGATAACTGTGCTGCCACAAACACTTGTCATTATATTTAATAAAATACCACCCATCAAACATCAATGTATAATTTATCACTGCATCAAACATCAATTCTGACAATAAACCATATGGTGCCCTCATGTCGAGAAAAAATTAAATGTATATACACAAACATAAAAAAAAAAATTAAAGTGAAATATAGAAACAGTGATAACCAAGGAAATTAGGAAATGCTATTCAACTTACCTTTATATCATATGTTGAACCAGGAGGAAAGTTGGCATCATATCGAAAAGCATAATCTTCTTTATCGACTTCATCCGGATCAAATTCAAAGTAGGTGGCAGCTTGCTTCAGTTTTCCATCCATTCCATCAGATAATGTGTCATAACTTTCTTCTAGATCATGCATAAACCCAGAACTATCACCATCTACTGAACCAGGTCTATCTCGAGCTTTTCCCTGTCGATAAATCCTTTCAAGAATGGAATCAAATTGGGAATTTTGCACAGGAACTTCACCAAATATTTTATGCTCAAACTCCTCAGGCGACTCTGACTTGTTATCCTGGTGATTAACAGTCCTATTATCTGCTCATTGGATTAGAAGATCTTAAGGATTAATAAGTATGCTCCCTGACTGAGAGACAGCAATAGAAAGAACAAATTTGAAAATCCTAACCACAGAAAGACTAAGCCCATTATAACAGAAAACATGGAATTCTCATTTGATTAACACTTGAACGCATAGAGTTTGATATATAACATTTCCGTTCCTACTAACAATCAATGTTATCAGTGGCAGATGGCGGCTTATGGCGTAAACAAAAAAGTTTGACATAAAGTTATGGCCACTGCACGGCAGGTTATGGCGGATATAATAAAATATATAAAAAATATTATAAATCACAGAAATTTAATATAAATGCTCAAGAAATTCTCAAGATTACATCGTCGTCATTCCAAGTAACACTGTAAAAGAGAAAAACACTTCAGCATGGATGTTATATTAAACAAAAAATGCTAAACAGAACTTGAACAGCAAAACAAAGGATGAATAACAAAACAGAAAGCAAGAATGATCAATGAATAGTAAAATAGAGCTCAAAAAGAAAAGCAAAATAGATGCCGGAAAAGCTGATTTCTCTGGTGAACAAAAAAGCAGAGGAGACACTGAAAAAAATATTTTTCAGCAAAATGGAGTAGGTGAGGATTGGAGAAACTACCATGTTGAGGTTTTAACTTTTCGTACAAAGAGGAAGAGTGTGGAGGAAGATGAAATATATGTTTTATCAAGGGTAAATGACCATCTACCCTTAAAAATAATCAAAACCGTGCGTTTTTTGGAACTGCACAACAGCAGTGTTGAAATACTTATTCTTAAGTAGAAACCCCAAAATCTTGTTAAATTGAATGATGGGCGGATAAGGTCGCACATTGAGCATGCAATCGAATGAGCCTATAGCCTCCATAGCCTCATCAAAACTGGTAATACATGGGGAAGTGGCAACGGCCTCATGAACATTGGGAATATATGGGGAAGGAAGCATATTGAGCATGCTATCGACCGAGGCAAGATCATGATCAAGGTTGTGAATAAATGGAGAAGGACACATACTGAGCATGCGATTGAATGAGGCAACAGAGTCATGAACACTCTGAATCAACAGGAGATGGCGCGAAGAATGAGTGTGAAGCTTTGCAGAGTAAGAACCATGAAAGAGAGCATATCTTAACATTGTGAATGACATCTTCTTCCGTTTATCCCAAAATTGAAACAGGTGAAAGAATGGGTTTAGACTTGCGATTTCAGTGGATTGAGGGATGAACGAAAGTTACGAAACGCGTGTACTGTGTATAAGCTGCTGCTTCCTCTGTTCCAGGAACATAAAAAGTATAGGTTAAGACTTTAAGCTTATCCGAGGAGAGCAGAGCAGTAAGGAAAAGTCAGCATGGCAAAACTGAAGCCCTAGCCCACGTGTGAGAGAGACAAAAAGTTTTGTGAATAAAAAAAAAAAAAATTCACGGTACCCTTTTCTAGCTAAAAGGGTACAATACCCTCTTTAAATTTATTAAATTTAAATTTATATTTAAAAAATATATATTTACTAATTAATTCTTAAAAAAAATTATTTATTATTGCTAAATAATTCTTTAATTTTTAATTTTAGGTTTTACAGAAAACTTTTTCACTCTACTATCAAATTTCTATTAAGAAATTTTTATTAGAAGGAAAGGGAAAGTCACGAGGCTTATCAAAAAACTAATATGATAAATTCAAAAGTAATACAAAAGATAAATGGTTTGATAGAATTATGATTATCTAACATTTTAGCTTTTTTTAATAATAATCAAGACAAAATATAGAAATGGTGAATAAAATTATAAATTAATTTGATAATGAAACTATACATTAAAATAAAGAATTTTGTATAACAATGTAATAGAACAACCACACATTAAACATAAATGCATGTTTGTTTATTTATTATCATAATCTTGATTATAATGCCATGCTAAAGACTTGTTTAAGACCCTATACACTTGGTACCACATTATGCCTTTTCATTCTTTAGTTTGTTATATCCCCTATGTAACGTAATATAAATTTTAATGAATTTAAACTTTATTTTTTCGTGCAAAGAGGAAGAGTGTGGAGGAAGATGAAATATATGTTTTATCAAGGGTAAATGACCTTCTACCCTTAAAAATAATCAAAACGGTGCGTTTTAAAAAAAAAACAGAAAAAGGTTTCTTCCTTTCCACAGAATAGAAACCCAAGCAGCCCAATAGAACAAAAGAGAAAGATATCTAAGCAGACAGAGAGAGTTTTCAGCAGAGAGAGAAAGAGAAAAATCTTAGCAAAGAACAGAGAGAGAGAGATCAGCAGAGAGCAGAGAGAGTGAGATCGCACGGAGAAGAGAGGAAAAAACCTTAACTTTAGGGTTGAGTTGTCTGAACCGGGTCAGGTTGCTAGCCCAGACTCGCAAAAAAAACCCATTTTCTACCAAAAATGTCATATTTCCGCCACGCCACTCTACCATGGTGCCGCCATAACTATTTTTTAACAACACTACTAACAACAACAATCAAACCTTACCCACTAGGTGAAATATGCTACATGAATCACACTTATTATTATTATTATTATTATCACTAAATTTCTTTTAATAATTTCTTCTAAAATTCTTTTGGTTCTTCCTATACCCTATTTTACCAAACTAAAAGCCATGCTATCTACTCTCCTCACTTGTGCTCCCAACAGATTTCTTAGCAGTGTTCTTTCCTTGTAATTGGGGTTTATCCTAATTCTTCTTAATAAGATACCTAGTTTCTATCAGTGGTATCAAAGCTCCAATCTTGGAGCTGTGGGTGCATCTTGAAGTTGATCCAAGAGGTGTTCAGGTCAGCAAGAATGCAGAAGTAAGTTCTTGAAAAGTTCAAGAGAGTATATGTGGAGATACCAGAATTTGAAGGAACAGAAGCCTATTGGTGATTGATTAGTGTGGAGTATCACTTTGAAGCCACAGCAATAGTTGAAGAAGGAAAAATACAAAAGGTTGGCAAGGTTATGCTAGGACATGCTTTTGTTTGGTGGTTTGTGTGGAAAGAAGATAATCAAAGTGCATCATGGTGGGACTTTGTGAAGGCTTTGCTCAAAGAATTGTAGCTTGAATATGACCCAAATCTACCAGTTTCCATTGAAGATCAAGGTTCTTTGGTGCAAGAAAATAGAAGAGAAGATGAAGTCTTAGAGAGAATAGAACCAACAACTCAAGGGCAAGAAACAAATCCAAGAAAATTACAAGAATTTGGAGAAATCCAACAAAAGCAACCCAACAAAATTGAAGACAAAGTAGTAGAAAACATAAACAAGAATGAAGTTTTTGAGTTCAAGAATCATAGTGGCAGATATGATAGAGAGATGAGTGCTTCTTTGAGTTGCAAAGTGAAGGCAAGAATTGGGGGAGATCCTATGTTTGGCATGAGGAGAGAGCCAAGGACTAAACCAACAACAACGGTGAAATTTTTGGGTTTGGGCAGTATGATCAATGCACCATAGAACCAAAATCTTAAAGCGGAGGATCTTAATAAGGGAGCTGTGAGATCTTAGTCTAATTACAGAACCTCTGATGCTCTATTTCAAGGCCAAAAATAACACAGAAAACAGAACACTAAGGGAGCATAATGGTATTCACATGTTTATGTTTGACCCAGGAGGAGTGGAAGTTGCCTTATCATCATGCTTTAAATAGAAAAAACCCCACTAGAACTTCGTTTTCCAGCTACTATAGCTATTCACCATGAAGAAAAGGTAAATATTTAGAAGGAAAGTATTGTAACCCACATTAGTAGTTACAATATGTTAGTTACCCATTAGAAGTTAGTTATAATATGTTAGTAAGTTAGCTTGTCTTAGTTAATTAGGCATGCTGTCCATAAATAAGTAGAAGGGATTGAAGAGGGAGATCTTGCCAATTGTACGAATTAGGGCCTTTGGCTTAGGAGGAGCAGCCCCTCAAACAACTGCAGTATTATCCCTGTAATTAGGGTTCATCCCTAGTTCTTCTTAATAAGATACCCAATTTCTATCAGATTGTTTATAAGAATTTGCAATTTTGTTAATTGTCAAAATTGAACGAGTACGATACAGATCAAGATATTCAGTGTCCTATAGATTCTTGCAGTTACAGTTAGGACATACACAGACCGAACTCTGTTATAAAAGATTTTCATACTGTTTAGTTACATCTCAGCACCAATCATTTACAGTTTGAGAATGCGCAAAAGACAACTGACACAACATGGATCAAGAAGCTGAAATTAATCTCAGAAAGAAAGTCTTACAAGTTTGCATGATAAACTGGATCAAATATACGAAAAAAATAAAGATGAACCAAGAAAAAATCTTTATTGAATAGTCTCAGTTGAGACTGAAATGCCCAAAACTGAGGAAGAATACAATGAACAAGTCTTACTGAAATTTGAACTATCCAATCGAATACCCCCTAAACTTCCCTGACTTCTATTACTAGCCTGTCAATTATTACATGTAACAGATTCAGTAATATACAATTGTCTCAACTAACTAACTGGATCGTTCTAATCTGCTAGGCCCTGGTCTATTTCTACCCTTTCTTACATAAACTTTCCTAATTGGAGTAACAGTTTGTTGGAAATTACAAAATAATAATAATTGTTCCACTTCCACTTGCAAAAGTAGCCTAGACACATTGTAAATTAATAAGTGGAGATAGAATTAATTATTTTTCTCTTGCCAATTGCATTTTGTATTTATTAGGTTTGTCGTCATCATGTAAATAAATCTCTCAAGGCTGAGTGCATTTTCATTCAAGCTTTTCACTCACAAACAATCTCTAAAATATTATCTCCTTTGATCTCAAGTAAGTTCTGAAGTAGGCCTTAACTCAAGGCCCAACCACAGTGACAGGAAAGGAGGATCAAGTGTATGGGGGAGGTAAAAGTCAGTTATAGTGAGAAAAGTAAATATGATTGGTTATACATATTTGTTTTGCAGTAAGAGGGACACACTGAATAAACTTAACAGCTTAGTAGTTTGAAGCCAAGGATTGTCATCTTTTGGCTAGGGAGGTTCAGTTCTTATACTACTGTGTCATTACCAAAACACATACTATACAAGTAACAACTCACACATTTTATCCTTAACAATACATACATGGAAATGTAATCGTAAAAAATCGGTTCCTTGAGAGTTGAGACAATGTTTGTTTATCATCATTTACAGTCACACAATAGCCAGATTCCAAACAGAGACCTTTACTTGGTTAAACTACAACAGTTGAAGCATTAAACAAATTAAAAGACATTCTACCTACAAGCCAAAACTTTCCCATTTTCAAATATGGTAAGAGGCATTTAGCACACAACTGACAAACCTCAGTATCCCTTTTGGTTCACTAGCAAACTTTAAATCACAAGAAGTAAAGCATAAAACATTCACAAACTCAAACTTCTCGGAAACCCAACTTGTAAATAGTCAAATTATCAAAACAAGTTATTAATATCAGCAACAATGCTAACAGGCAGAGCAATGTTTAAAATGGAGACAATGAAACAATACCAAGAACCTGTAATTCTCCAAGTGGAGAGACTTCTGAGCAAATGGGCCTGATGAAATCGATGTGACAAATTGCCACTTAATGACCTGACTGCAACTGAAAGAATCTTCATTTTCTTCCTACTTCAAACAAAGAAAGCTTGAAGCTGCTAATTTATAAGCTGTACTCACTGGATTTTATAGTAGCTAAAAACTTAACAACAAAAGACAAATTACAAAGGGAAAAGATCTAAATTATGATACCCAAAAACCTAAAATTTTCCATTTAAACTTGTAGAATGTCTCAAATATTTCCCTATTCAAGAAAATCGTATTACAAAATTTCAAAAATAAATAATAGCCTTCAGTTATAAGATCATTCATCATACATATGTTTATACGTTTAAGACAAAACCACATACACTTTTCAAATTTTACAAACAGTAAATATGGTTACTTGCAATGCAATAAACATAAAAAGTTAATTATATTGCCCTTACAAGCATTAAGTTCTTAAGAAAGTAATAAACTTAATTGTTTGGATAGAATAATCAAATTCCATTAATTGTTAAAAAGCTATGTTTGGAGAAAGAATCAAGTTCTTAAAAACGGAACCACCATTGGCAGTCATTAACAACCGCAGACAGAACCATAACAAGAAGAGATTGACATCAATAGAGAGAGATTAGAGAGAAATCGCAAGAGAGATTACCCGCACGCACGCGAGAGAGAGGAGAACAGGGAGAGGCTAACAGTTGCTATAGGGTTTAGATGTAAGGAGAGACTCTTACAAGCCGTGGATTTTCAGTAAAACTAATTTATTTAGTCGTGCAGGTATGTTATTATTGTATAGTGGCAGCAGATCAGCAGTAGAACAAAAAATAATAATAATAATAATAGAACTACTAGTAGGTTGTTGATAAAAATAAAATATAATGTCAGAATAAATAAATAAGTTAACATAAATAATAAATGATGAACAATATTATGTATCATAAAAAAATATATAAAAATAAAAATAATTTGATAATATTAATCTTACATATAATAATATTAGTATTTGACTATAAAATTTAAATATTAATATATTTTTAAAGTATATCAAATAATAAAGAATAAGAACTTATACTTTTCAAGTTATATCTACTAGGTTTATAAATTATAAATTCTAACATATTTTAGAACACATATTTAATTATAATAAAAAGTTAAGCCAGTAGAACCAGGAAAGTACTTCCCCTTATCAGTTTTGGATCGTTACATGGAGAATAACCACATGAGGATGGTGTACTATTACCAAACTTCAGGAGAAGTAAGACTTGGAGAAGTGACCAAGAAGTTGAGAGAGACTTTGTCAGAGATGCTTACCCATTTTCCCAAAGTGAGTGGACGGTTGATAAGGGATGAGAAAGGGCATTGGAAGATCAAATGCAATGATGCTCAGGTCAGAATGGTGGAGGCAAAAGCCAAAGGGAGTGTTGAGGGGTGGCTTAGATGTGTTGATAGGGAAAAGGAACTTCAGCTTGTGTATTGGGAGACCATGTTCACAAACCTTATTATTGGTCTACTTTTTATGTCCACGTTAGAATTTTATACTATTGAAAACAAAAACTTTTATTTTAATATATTATTAATCAATTAGAAAGCGTTTGTTGATTTAGCTTTTAAATTAATTATTGTAAAATTTCATATTAATGATACCATTGCATTTCAATAAGTTCTTGAAAAAACTAAATGATTTGGATATGATAAAAACTGGTTAACCGATCAAAGAGTTTCTAATTAAAAGTGGAAAGTTGAAAAAGCGTGCGACCAAATTAAAAAAAAAAATTGATGACAATAACAGATGACTATGAGATTCTATGTTTGTTCCGATAGGAAAAAGGCGAAGTTATGGAAAGAGAAGCGTGCTTTCAATGCTGCAGAGAACGAACCAAATTAGGGTTTCGAATTTCTAAAAAATGGGGTTGAAGCTTTGATGCTTTCAGGCTGTGGGGGCTCACACATGAATTTTTTTAATTACAAAAACATAAATGTAAATAGGAATGGAAAAAAAAGAAAATCATTAACAATTAAATTAATTATGTTAAAAATTATTTAAATGTCTTCCCATTATAAGTGATTAATTTTTAACTTATTTGACTAAGAGAGTATTTAGAAAACATTATTTCATATTATATAAAAATTGTTAAAAACATTATTTGATCTTATTTTGCATTTGTTAAAAATATATAGCTTATACTTTTTAATTACTTTTTATAAAAATAAAATAAATAAAATTTTAGTGTTTACAATTAAAAATTATTAACTCATTTTTAGTTATTTTCCTTTTATTCTTACTAATTATTTATTATGCATATTTTGTACATTTTCTATAATCTCATTGTGGAAAAAAAAAAGTATACAATTTAAGTAAATACATTATTGTAAAAATGCTTCTCACTTATTGATGAGGATTTCCCTAAGCCTCTTGAATTTCGGACCTACTAGGACTAGGATGTATCTCAAGCTACAAAACTCGAAAATGGGTGATTCAAAAACGAAAGGAATATTTATGTTGTGAACCTTAATTTTGACTCAAAGAATCACTTAATTTGAATTTGTATAACGCAAGATATGGATAAAAGTTATTCGGGGCTTAATTTGGGATTTGTTTGGAAGAGAATGCTATGAAACTTAAAATTCAGAATTGGAAAAAAAAATTGAAATTCATACCTTGTAAAGAGAATAAAATGAAAGAAATATGATAGGGAAGGCGCCACAAATAAGGATGTTTGATAAGTCAACAAAATCGCCACAAGAACAGATGAATTCTTGATAAGATCAGAGGTTGCAAGGAAGAACCCTAGCAGAGAATAATTCTCACTATAATCTGATTTCAATCATGTATATCCTTAAAATGATTTCTAAGTGTTTTAGTACAATTCAGTTTTGGAGTTTGTCCACATGAACTTGACATATAAAAACAAAAATTAATCTCTTTAGCACAAACATGATGTATATGTTCTAGTGATTAAGTGAGCATATTTCATCCTAAGGTGTAAGGGTTCAAATCCTATAATAGACAATAAAGCACTTTAGAATTCAAGTGTTGGACTTCATTTGGGTGTTGGGCTTCTAGCATGGTGCTCAACATGTGTTGTAGAGCTTCTTGAGCCTTTCTTGATCTAGCTCTTGTCATGGGTTCTCTTAAGCTTTGTAAAGGATCTTGGACTGCTTGAACTTGAGTTTGGGTCTGGACTTCACTCCTTATGTCCACATCACTTATGATAAAATATCAAAAGTTTATTGTACTTTAAAGATATTAAATTTATTTTTATTTAATATTTTCTTATAAAATATGAGTTATGTTAATAATTACTTTTAGGATATTAGTTAAAATAATAATAAATAGATTATTATTATTAAAAAATTGGATTAAAAATATATTAAAAGTTAAACGATAGTATATTATATTATTTGTTAACTAATACCTTAAATACATACTAACATTTGCCATAAAAAAAAAAAAAAGATTAATGCTAAATGATAACATTGTAGGAGAAAAAAAATATTACTCTTAAGTATTTTTATACTTACAATATAATAAACAATGTTTCATTAAATTATTCTCATTTTTAACCATTTTTAAAAAAAAATCATAATTATTTATCCAAAAATAAATAAATATAATACAACACACTTTTAAAGCGTGATTACTTACAAAAAATATATAATTATTTTTCTAAATAAGGAATGAAATATATTAAACTTAACACGAAAATAAAGACTTGTAAAAACGGCCTAGAACCGTGAGTTGAGGACTGACCTTAAGGGTGAAATTCACTTATTTTAATACATTAAATTTTATAAATTTAATTATTAAATCAAAATTTCGCATGAAACAAATATTTTTTTAATTATATATAACTTGAAATTATTTAATATTTTTGTTGAATAAATTTATTTTAATAATATTTTATAAATTTAAATGAAGATCTACATTAAAACTATATATTTATGAGTATTTAATTTATCTAAAATTCAGTATGTATAAGTATTAAAAAAATGTTACATAATTTAATTGTTCCGTTGATAAAATTTAGTGTCTAAAAAACTGTTAGATACAATAAATATTTAAAACTTACCTTTTTATAATATCATAATATTAGTTGTCTTTTATTTTGAAAAATAAATGATGCATTTAGAAACGCAATTTAATTAACAACTTATTTAATAAGGTCTTTTTACATGAAGGAATCCTATAAATTTGACAACAAAACTTCTTAGAATAAGTTGAAAAGAGCTTGTTCTGATAAGATACTAAGATGCTTGTTGAAAAAAGCTTAAAAGATTCTATCAGGCCTATAAGTTTTATCATAAGATCTTTCAAACATTTCCAATGTCTCTAACTACCTAGCTGACTAACTGCCAAACTTCTCATACTCTTATTTAGTGTAGTGGTGGATGGTTGAATTGGCTTTCAGGCATAACATTCATGGTTGAGGTGATGTTATTTATAATATAGATATATTAATTTTCTGAAATACTATTTTTGAAGATTAAGGAAAATAATTAATCAAGTAATTGCATAAAATTCACAGCAGAAACAAATACAAACTTGAATAGAAATGAACATAGGCTGAGAAAGCAAATGTGATAATAGTTTCAAAAGAAGCACAAGATTGGTCCAATTACAATGGAAAGAAGCCATGAAAATGAACCATTTCACTTCATTTTGGCCTCTGTAAACAGAACATGGCGATTAACTCTAGGATCATATTTTCGAAACTCAAGCTTCTCTGTAAATTGCCTTGGTTTCCTCTTAACATAGAAGAATCCAGTCCCAGCTGCAGAAACTAGTTTGACAAACATCTGAGCCTTCTTCTTCTTGTCACCCATTCTTTACTCTAGCAAGAGGTAAATGAATTACTAGTAAAAAAATACAAACCCAATAAGGGTGCATTTGGAAATACAGCTCAATTAAGCACTTATTCAATAAGTTTTTTTTATACGAGTGCTTATTCTATAAATTTTACCATAGAACTTCTTGGAATAAGCTAAAAAGAGCTATTCTGATAATCTATATTGAAATAAGCTAAAAAATACTTATGGGAACTGTAAGCTATTTTCATAAACTCTCAATAAGCTCTTCTCAGTGCCTCCTAAATTGTTCAACACTTCAACATGATCAAATATAGTTATTTTCATGTAGTTATTTTTTTGTTCAATTAAAGTGAAATGGAACTAGACATACTACACTAGAAATCCAGTTCAGAGAACAGGGTTACATCAGCTAACAGTGTCTTTAAATAGGCAGAATAACACATTTAGTTATTAGGTGCATGGAAATAAGAATGCAAAACATAACACTATTTTTAATTTCTAAATATTTGACAATTTCCTCATTTCTTAACATATTAGTACAACTGAACAGATTGAGATAATCAAACATAAATTTCAATTTGAATTTCATGCGTCCATTAAAAACAATTAATCCGAATAATTGTATTAAACAAGAAAAGTGCAATAATAAAAGGCAGAAAAGAATGCATTTTACTTGAGTCATATATATCACAACAAAACCAATAGCAAATTACCAAGACCAAAGTGCATAAAGCTCTATAGTTTCTCTAAATATACATCCACAGAAAAGAAGGGGGAAAAGGATCCATTTTTATAAACAAATTAATAAACCCCAAAAGTTTTGCACAAATAGTAATTAAAATAAAAATTCCTTTACTTCCGCTGAACAAAACAAATGTTACATAATCGAATACTACACTGTTAAATCAAGGAAAGGTTTACAGAACAAGAGTGAACTACAAAATGAGGAAAAAATAGAATTTTCTTATTTTTTCAGTTTGTTACAATGACAATCATTGATAAATATATTTGAGTCTTGACATAATATCATTCTTTTACCCAATTTACTGTCCATCTGTGGTATCTATTTTAAAGAATTTGTTTTTTTCAATCACCACTAAATTGTTAGTGGTGAACCTTAACATGATTAATTTGACAATTGTATCTAACATGTCAATATGCTAATCCCCAATTAAAATGTGTACAGAAGTCACAAGAGTAAATACATTATACAAGTCACAAGGCCCAGCCAACGTAAGGAAAGGAAGTAGAGAAATGTTTTGCTTTGATATTTTCAGAGATGACCAAGTTGGTATTGAACAACTATAGTGGCACTAATTCTAGCCTTTTCAATGTTCAGACCAAGCAGCCAGGCAAGCTTTGATATTTGTAGGTATTGAGATGGCACAGTCTAGACATGGCATTTTTATATCCCACAAGAAATATGCTTTACCCATTTGAAGAAACTAGCATGTATCTTGTGATAAAATTGGATATCTTTTGCTGTAAGTGTGGTAACTGGTAAGTGGTTCCTTGATTTTTCATGTAACTCTTACTAGGATGTAGTTGTTTAAATACTTCTATACAGTAATGGAACACCAGCTAAAAGGCCTAATCTGTAAAGAAAAGGGACAACAGGGATACATCATTATACAACTGCTGATTGGGCAGGCTCTCGATCAAAAAGATGTTTTGTGTGAGTTTGTGGTGCTCTCTTAGCGGAAAAAATTAAGCTATCTTAGAATTGAAGCAAACTTTGATCGGTAGATCAAGTGCAGAAGCCAAAAATATTGAGCCATGGAAACTGCAACTTGTGAACTCAAGAAAGTTAATTTATAAGCTGTACTCACTGGATTTTATAGCAGCTAAAAACTTAACAACAAAACACAAATTACAAAGGGAAAACGATCTAATTATGATACCCAGAAACCTAAAATTTTCCATTTAAACTTGTAGAATGTCTCAAATATTTCCCTATTCAAGAAAATCGTATTACAAAATTTCAAAAATAAATAATAGCCTTCAGTTATAAGATCATTCATCATACATATGTTTATACATTTAAGACAAAACCACATACACTTTTCAAATTTTACAAACATTAAATATGGTTACTTGCAATTTGGTCTGAAAGTTAGCATTCGAAAGACACCAATGCAATAAACATAAAAAGTTAATTATATTGCCCTTACAAGCATTAAGTTCTTAAGAAAGTAATAAACTTAATTGTTTGGATAGAATAATCAAATTCCACTAATTGTTAAAAAGTTATGTTTGGAGAAAGAATCAAATTCTTAAACACGGAACCACCAGTGGCAGTCATTAACAACCGCAGACAGAACCATAACAAGAAGAGATTGACATCAATAGAGAGAGATTAGAGAGAAATCGCAAGAGAGATTACCCGCACGCACGCGAGAGAGAGGAGAACAGGGAGAGGCTAACAGTTGCTATAGGGTTTAGATGTAAGGAGAGACTCTTACAAGCCGTGGATTTTCAGTAAAACTAATTTATTTAGTCGTGCAGGTATGTTATTATTGTATAGTGGCAGCAGACCAGCAGTAGAACAAAAAATAATAATAATAATAGAACTACTAGTAGGTTGTTGATAAAAATAAAATATAATGTCAGAATAAATAAATAAGTTAACATAAATAATAAATGATGAACAATATTATGTATCATAAAAAAATATATAAAAATAAAAATAATTTGATAATATTAATCTTACATATAATAATATTAGTATTTGACTATAAAATTTAAATATTAATATATTTTTAAAGTATATCAAATAATAAAAAATAAGAACTTATACTTTTTAAGTTATATCTACTAGGTTTATAAATTATAAATTCTAACATATTTTAGAACACATATTTAATTATAATAAAAAGTTAAGTCAAATTTTAATATAATTTTTTTTTACTAAAATTATATCATGTTTGGATGAATTTACTTTTAAAATATTATGTCAAAAATTACTTATAAAAATAAGCTATTATTTTTAAAATAAAACTAAGTCAATCTTAAAATCTCAAAATATATATTTATAATAAATATTTTAAAAATAATTATCGCATAAAGAAATCTTAGTTAGTTTGATGTTAAATATATATTATTTTGAAATAAAATAATTAAACTCAATTTTATGGAAAATAATTTTAATTTAAAACACCAAATAAAAAAATTAAACTCAATGTTCAGACTTTTTTTAAAACAATAACAAATTAACATATTATATTAAACAATTTTATCAACACCAACTATAAAGATTGATTTGAAAAAAAAAAATTATTGATTTTAAAAACTAAGAGAGCGGTTCCACTTTAACTGTTTTCTAATATATATTTCTTAGAACGGTTCCGAATGAACTGCTCTCTAACAAGGACTTTTAAGAGCGGATAATTGGGAATCGCTCTCTAATAAGGACTTCTGAGAGCGATTGGTTTAGAACTGCTCTGTAATAAGGACTTCTAAGAGCGGTTGGTTTTAAACCGTTCTCTAATAAGGACTCTGAGAACGGAACTGCTCTATAATAAGGATTTCTGAGAGTGATTCATTTGGAACTGCTCTCTTATATGGACTGATGTCGCCCTTGTCGTAGACGATTCTCTACGATTTATATGCATGTCCCCCAACCACTAGACTCGTCTGTTAATTGGAAGATTTACCTTTTTAGTGTCGTCCCTGGTCTGGACAATTTCAATGCCACATGGTCGTCTAACTCCCGGCAATTTGTTTTCATGCATGCCTATTTTGGAAATTTCTTTTAAAATTAACCCCATAAAGGCAAAAAATGCCACAAGAACTTTCTGTCCTCTAAGATTCTCTTACGTAATTAAAATATATTATATATTTTTTTTAAGCATTTTTAATCTTTTTCTTCATATAATTCAATATATTTTATTTATTTATTTTATCTTTTAAAGCCATTAAAAGAAACCTAAATTTGTTGTCTAATTTTATTTTATTTTATTTTCTAATAATTTATAATTATTTGTTTTACAATGGTTAGAAACAGTAGTGGTTCTCTTTCACCACCTAAATTGACGTATTGGACGTGGAATGGTTCGGTTGGATGTCCGTATTAGTATTTAAGTTCAGAAGACCAGCTACAATTGTTCGTGCTATATCGTGAGTGAATTTAAATCTTTATTTATACGGTCTTCGATTTTCATATCTAACTGTTCCAAAATACTTTTAAAAAATCGACCTTTGATGGTTTTGATTAAGGTTAGTGTACTACAAGTTAACCCACCTTCTCCCGTGCATAATACTTCCCACGTCGTTTTGGTTTCACTATTGTCACTGTTATACTTAAATTTCTTTTCTTTTGAGTCGATTGCAATAGATTTTAACCGTAAATTGTAAGAAGTATCTGCACTGAGAAGTTGTATGTATAGCCCACTGTCTAGAACATACAATATGACACACCATCAGTGAAACTAAACAATCTTAAATAAAAATCTAGAAAAGTAAAATAATAAAGAAATTATCATCAAATCTACCTGAATATAAAAAGATCGAGCCCTAACTGCACATACGTCCAAAATCTGTTAAATTGAATCATGGATGGAAAAGGACGCAATGAGCATGTCATTTGAGTCTGTTAGCCACATGTCTCCTTTATATAGGAAAGGTCGCGGGAATCTTTTCACACTCACTCACCGACTTTCACACTCATGGCAATGGCAGCAAGAATATTTTCTTCCTCAATGTTAAGATATTCAGCCCTTGTCAAACCTTACTCTACCGCTTGCTCTTCGCCCATTCCCCTGCATATTATTCTTAAGTCATTCCATAACATGTTGTGTAATCCTTTCTCCTTCATCTTTCAATATAACAAGATTTTGGGACAATGTAACAGGAATGGGCATCTCGTTTAACGAAAGTTTATGATGGGAATCCAATCAGACATTGTTACCTTTAATTGTCTTATCGATCGTTTAACGAAAATGCATCATATGACCTTGGCATCTTCGGTACTGGCAAGAGTCATTATGATGGGTTATTAGCCAACTATCATCACCTTCAATACAACTGCAACATCACGTGGATTTGTTTTTGACGTGGTCACCTATGCTGGCCAATGGCCTCTGTAAAGCAGGGAAACAAGAGCTGCTACTGGTTGAAGGACGTTTCATACAGCCTGATGTCTACAATGTAATTATGAACAGCCTATGCAAGGAATCACGTGTGACAGAGGCATTGGATCTTTGTTCTGATTTCCAAAAAAATATATGCGGACGAAATCACCTATAATATACTGCTACATGGCCTTTGTCTTTTGGGTGAAGTGAAGGAAGCAGTTGCTTTGTTCAACGAAATGGTATCAAAAAGCATCAAACCAGGTATTCGGACGTTAAGCATATGAATTACTGCTTTGTGTAAGAATAGAAATGTGAGAGAAGCTCATAATATGTTTGCTGTGATGACAAAAGAAGATATGAAACCTGATGTTGTTGCTTTTAATTCATTAATGGAGGGATATTGCTTGGTACTCCTCTCATCCAAACCATTCTGGAAGGCTCTTTCTTTACCCTTTACAAGATAGTAACTAAGTTTTTGGACAACAGCAACTAACTTCCCTGCATAGCTACACCGGCCTCGCCTCTTGCTTTTTGTTTATAGAAGTTCAAGGCGTCAAGTCCTTTCTATCTAAGTTTTGTTCATCGTCCAACCTCTTCAAATTCAAAAGAGAATCTCAAAGAACTAGACGATCCTTACCAGTCTTACTAGGCAGGACAGAAACCAATCCTATAACTACAAGATGATACCTTAGAAGTTGCAAGCTACTTCTCCTAACGACAAGTAAAGGCATGCACTATATTAGAAAACTAGAATGGAAGGCACAATGAGAAAGGGGAAAGCTCAACCGCGTGCCACAAAACAGTGGGTTTTTGTTCCTGGTCTTGTCTTCCTTCCGGCTAAAGCTTCAAGTCTCAACACTTTGAATTATATGATGCAAATTGATATAAAGCCTGATGTAACAAGCTACAACACTTTGATAAATGGATTATGTAAGGCTAAAATGATTCATGAAGCGTTGAATCTCTTTGAAAAAATGCAGGGATTGTTCCAGATATACAGACTTACAATTGCCTGATGAAAGGGTTTTGGTAAACGAGGAAAAATTTGTTATATTTGGAAGCTCTTCTGGTAGAATGCTGGTAGAATGCATGTAAGGGGTTTACATGCAAACATAGTTACTTTAAATACTATAATGGACGGCTTATTCAAGAATAATAATCCAGACTTAGCAATTTTATTATTCGACAATCTTGTGAAGAAGGGTATTTGTCCTAGTGTCTAATGCTATGATCAATGGTCTTCAGAAAGAGGTTGAAGCATTGTCCTTGTGCTAAAAAAAATGGAAGACAATAGATGCGTTCTGGATGCAATAACTTTTGAAATAACACGAAATGATTTCTCGAGGCTTATTGTAAGGAACTGCTTTAAATCTAAAAGCCTTAAATTTCAATATTTGATTCTTTTGATCTTTGATAAAATCTAAACTGCAGCACTGCTTATGTTGATTGTTCATACAGATAGGGCTGATGTCAAACAAGACGGATAGAAGAGTTTGGGTTACTGTGAATGCTAGTGATAATAATAAGAAAGTGAAGAGTGTTAACTTCAATGGTGTGCCTACTAAGGTTTTGTTGCTTAGGAACATGGTATGTGTGTGTGTGTTTATTGATGTGTTTTTGATTTGTTTGCAGTGAATGGTGGTTTTGTTCAAGTGGTATTGACGGATGATTAATAGCGTTAAAATTTCCTGAATCTTATTATTAATGTGTATGCAATGTGTGGATAAATTTCTCTCAATGGTTGGATTTGTGTGCATTGCTTTGGAGATTGGCTTAAGGATTTTTTATGAATTTGTCTTGTATTAACTTTAGGTTTGATAAAAGTTTCACGGTTATTGTTGCTTGTCATGTTGTTGGTTTTGTTCTGCGTATTGTGGAGGTTTGATTTTAAAATAGCGCTGATTACTTTGTTACCGTGTTATGATGCAATGAGCTATGATCTGCATATTTAACTTCTTGAGTGTTCAAACTGAAATGTCAGACTTTTTAGTTTTATTAGGTTTTTTGCCAATCAGTCTGCTTTACCAGTTAGAAACTGTGTTTTACTTTTAATAGTCAACGACTGCACTTTCAGTTTGAGTGTGAAGATTCATATTAAATATTCTACCATTGTTTATTGGTGATGCCTCTGAGATTTGACTTGAAAATGCAACACCAACAACAATTGGTACACTTGATAGTAAAGAGAATATGATAAAATTGTGTATCTTGATTGTTCACACATCGTTCTATGTCAGCACTCAGCACAGATTACTATAAATATCATCCAAACAGAACAAGGAAAAAACTCTCTCAATTAAAGGGCTAACCGACACTAATAACTCCTAATTGACTCTAGAATATTTATGTGATAAGCTAAAGATGTCTAGGAAATGCTAACATTCTCCCTTAAGTTGTGCATATATATCATCATATCTGCCAAACTTGATATATCTTGTTGATCTAGTGATGTACATGAGAATTAAGGAATATAAGAGCTGGTTATTAGAATTTACTAATTTTGTAACTATTTGTATACTAGACTATATTCTTTTCCTTATGTATTGTGACAACTGACAATATGTTTCAATTTGCTTGGTCTGTTTCATGGAAGACGATAGTTGAGGCTACATGTAAATTTGCTAAATTGTCAATGTGCTCACTGGCCATGATTCACGGATCTTCTATTCTTTGAGCAACTTTCTTGAGTTCACAAGTTGCAGTTTCCATGGCTCAATATTTTTGGCTTCTGCACTTGATCTACCGATCAAAGTTTGCTTCAATTCTAAGATAGCTTAATTTTTTCCGCTAAGAGAGCACCACAAACTCACACAAAACATCTTTTTGATCGAGAGCCTGCCCAATCAGCAGTTGTATAATGATGTATCCCTGTTGTCCCTTTTCTTTACAGATTAGGCCTTTTAGCTGGTGTTCCATTACTGTATAGAAGTATTTAAACAACTACATCCTAGTAAGAGTTACATGAAAAATCAAGGAACCACTTACCAGTTACCACACTTACAGCAAAAGATATCCAATTTTATCACAAGATACATGCTAGTTTCTTCAAATGGCTAAAGCATATTTCTTGTGGGACATAAAAATGCCATGTCTAGACTGTGCCATCTCAATACCTACAAATATCAAAGCTTGCCTGGCTGCTTGGTCTGAACATTGAAAAGGCTAGAATTAGTGCCACTATAGTTGTTCAATACCAACTTGGTCATCTCTGAAAATATCAAAGCAAAACATTTCTCTACTTCCTTTCCTTACGTTGGCTGGGCCTTGTGACTTGTATAATGTATTTCCTCTTGTGACTTCTGTACACATTTTAATTGGGGATTAGCATATTGACATGTTAGATACAATTGTCAAATTAATCATGTTAAGGTTCACCACTAACAATTTAGTGGTGATTGAAAAAAACAAATTCTTTAAAATAGATATCACAGATGGACAGTAAATTGGATAAAAGAATGATATTATGTCATGACTCAAATATATTTATCAATGATTGTCATTGTAACAAACTAAAAAAATAAGAAAATTCTATTTTTTCCCCATTTTGTAGTTCACTCTTGTTCTCTAAAACTTTCCCTGATTTAACAGTGTAGTATTCTATTATGTAACATTTGTTTTGTTCAGCGGAAGTAAAGGAATTTTTATTTTAATTACTATTTGTGCAAAACTTTTGGGGTTTATTAACTTGTTTATAAAAATGGATCCTTTTCCCCCTTCTATTCTTTCTTTCCAATGCTTAATGTGTTCTGGTCCAGATTTTATAAAATGATAGCATAATTTTCTATGGAGAGACATCTATGTTCGATATATCAAATTTATTGTTTTGCTTTCTTATTTGTAAAACTTAAGTACTGTTATTATTTAATGTTTAACGATAAGCCTTGATTATAGTCTACATTATGTGAAAAAAAGCTAAAGATACAAAGTTCTGAAATAGGGTTAAACATTGCAAAGAATTCAAAGTGTTATGAAACATGTTACATATTACTCTAATTGTGAGAGTAATATGTGTGAATATCCTTTATTTTTTAGTATTCTTTTTTCTATTATGTATAAATGTGCTGTTTGTCTTACATTCATTAGTTTGGAAGAGATTCAATGCAGGCTTTGATCTGACGGGGATCAAATGGGTATTCATGTATGCTCGAGCCATACAAATGTGTCAAATTCAATTGATACACAACTATGTCAAATTCAATTCTTGGAAAAATTCTTGGTCTGATTGCCACTGTTGGCAATCGATTAACCACTATTATAACATGAAATTGGATTAAACTGCCAAAAAACATGATCATTGTCTTGGTGAAAAAAACTGAAAATTCATCATTTACACAAAAAGTAAACAATGTACTTGAGCTTACTAGACCAGCTTCAGAGAAAATCTCAGCAAGTCTGAAGAGCAAAAGCATTTGCTTTATGAGCAGTTTAACACCTCACATGCCATTTATAATGGTGGCAAGAAGGCTGCCTGAATTACCACTCAAATTTTCAAATTACATTAAAAAGAAGGGAAATAAAAACAAAACAACATGTATCAACCTTACCAAAGAGAACCGCTAGAACCATTTAAAAAATTGGGTAGCGAAATTGGTGAAAAGCGTTGATAAGGTTTGGTATAGGGTGCTGCATTCATCTCAAAGGCACAGTTTTGTAAAGCCAAAGAGCCAAACTCCAGCCCCTTCCATGTGTATATGAATACATCAATGAGAAACCAATTAGATTGAAACCTTGCAGAAGACCAATTACGCCGCACGTTAACCCTAAACTAAACCCCTGCGAGAGTGAGGTGTTCGTGAGAGTATATATAGCCAACAAGAGGTCATTGGGTGATATTGTTATCGATATTGGGCCAGAATATTTTGGATCTGGCCCACGTTTTAGAGTAACAACGTTGTACTTTTGTCCATTCATGTAACGGTTAACTGCTATAAAAAAATATGTAACGGTTGACCGAAAATATATGTAACAGATAATAATGAGTTAGGATGGATTAACCTTTAGTTTGGTTCAATCTTTATTTAAAAAGTTTTCCAAATTGCATATAAAAGTAATGTGTGATTCTCTTTGGTTTGATTTGAATATGATTTAAAAACTAAACCAATTTGAATTATAAAACATGGGTTCAATTTTGATAATTTTTTTATTAAAATATTTTATTTTCCAGAATTTTATTTATTATTACATGACTTTTAATCTATTTTTTAATTTAAAGTAAGTAAGATCATTTATTAGTTCAATTTTAATTACCTCTATCATCAATTGTTTAATTTAAATAAAACTATATCACTTAATAACTTTTTTTAACTATTGATTTGAAAGTTATATACATAGTTATAAAGATAATATAAGAAAATTTAATAGTTAAATTATTTAATTTTACATTTAATGATCAAGATTGACACTCATCTTTGACTCAAAGATAAGAAAATTATTATGAATTTTTTAGTTTAATTTAGTTTGGCAAGGAATGAAGAGATATACATCTTGTTCACCTTTGAGATGACGACAGAAAATAGTTCTAGAACTTGGTTCCAACACGCCAAACCCAGATCACTAACTATACGCTTCACGGGCACCATAAGATTGCATCATTTTCACAGCTCTTTCTTACAAGCAAGTGCAAAAAAATGGCTTTGCTGTTTGCATTATTAAAGATGGGAAATTTTCCACTCATAAAAAAGAACAGTACCTGTTAACTCTTTTCTTGAATTCTTTTATTGATAGCCGCTAAAGCTTCATTCTTAAGGTTCTCAAAAGATTCATATCCACCATTTAAATTTCAATAGAAACAAAGTTATATTATTGTGCCTCTCCTCACAATTCTCTTTCTATTTTGTACTCCTTCTTTTAAAAATTTGGGTCTTTCATTTGCAGTGTCAAATTCAGGACATGAAAACAGGAATGAGGAACAAACTGGTTCGGCGGATAAAAAAGTTGCTTTCTTGTTCTGGTAATCGTATTCTTGTTTTCATTTTCTTCATTTGTTCTTTTCCCCTTCGTCGTTGAGTTCAGCAGCAGAAAGATAAAATGAATCAGAAAAATAATTTTTATATTAAAACAGAGTGTAGAACGAGTTCTCCAAATGATGAAACAAGTGTGGATGTGCGTGAGGAATATGCCAATGCATTTCGAACAGAGTCATACACTGAGTTTTGGACACGTGTCATTGCATATTCCAATGGTGAATCCTCATCATGTTTGTCAAGAGAGTCGACTACATCGGCTCGGCTTCCTTCTTACCGTTTGTTTGCGGAGCATCTCTTGGATCCAAATCAACCCACGGTTTCTGAAGTCTTATCCAAAATCCAAAACCAACCCATTATCCATTCTCTCTTATTAGACTATTTTCTCCACACTTCCAATGCTTTTCTTCTTTGTAGTCATCTGTTAAAGGACATTGATCGTGTTCGTGCAAAATACACATCACTTAAGACTGTTCTTCAATGTGTTCCAAATAATCAAGTTCCTTCCTCAATGCTAATCTCCCATTTGGCTCAATTTTCTAACTCCTTAAACCCATTTGCCACATCTAGCCCCTCACCATGTCGGGTTCGGGTCACCCAATGCCATTGCTCCGACTTGCAAAAGCGGCTTGAGCTAAGCCGTGACAAGGTGCAAGCCAAGCTTCAGTTGATTGTCAGGCTAAAATATGGCTCGGCTTGCCTTCTTGTGATAGTAACAACTTCACTTATGGTGGTTGTTGCTACTCATGGCTTTGCTTTGCTTGTGGCTGTCCCGGGATTGGCTTCCTTGAATTTGGCTTCAAAATGGAGGTTGGTTAAGGTCGCGGCTCAACTTGATGCAGCCGCGAAAGGAACTTATATATTGAATAAGGACTTGGAGACAATAAGTCGGCTTGTGGCTCGGCTTAATGATGAGTTGGAGCACATGAGGGCAACAGTGAGGTTTTGGCTTGAGAGGAAAGAGGATAAAATTCAAGCCGACGGTGAAGTGGCGCGCCTATTGAAGAAGAACCAATGTACCTTTAGTGATCAATTGGATGAATTGGAAGAGCATTTGTATTTGTGTTTGATGACTATTAATAGGGCAAGAGATCTTGTGTTGAATCAAATCACTCACTAAACTTAGATATGTTAGCAAAATGTCATATAAAAATTATTATATATATAATTTTTTTTTCTTTTTATCTATCATCAATTTTTTTAAAAAATGTTCTTTTACTTTCACTTTTGAAGCTCAAGAAAATGTTTATTACTTTTTTCTAATCATACCTTACCATTATAATTTTTTAATTGTTTACATAAAATGAATGATTAATAATTGTGAGGTTCATCGATGAGACTAAATCACATTTTTCTTCCTACAGGTTAATTCATAAAAATGTATTTTACTTTTAATGTTGAGAGTTAATGGATAATATGAATAAATAAAAAAAAACAGTTTATTATATAAACGAAGGATAAAACTAGAAATAGATAATTTTTATGTAAATTAAAACATTAATTAGTTATTTTAAATTATGTGAAACAATTTTAAGTGACAAATAAAAAAATTGAGAGAGTTTGTCCTATTACTATTAAACCCATATTAAAAAATTATTTAATTAAAATACATAATTGGTATTTGGAATGATAAATAAAGCAGAAATAAGAATAAGAACTTCAATAAGGACAGAAGTATTTATCAAAACGATGAAATAGTTTACCATAAGCAATTAATAAAATTTATGTAAAGAATAATGTAAGAGAATATATACATTTATGTGCAATTATTATATACTTTAGAATTTAGTTCCCAACCAATCACTTTAAAAGGCTCGATGCTTAGAACAACTTTCATATATGCAATTAAATAAATATAAACATTAAAACAAACCCTATAAAAACCTTTCCATTTCGTGGTCAGTCACAACTCATTGACATCACGGTATATGAGAAAAATAATTAAATTGTAATTTAATAATTTATAATAAATAATTAAGAGTATGATAAAAATATAAAATAATGTATTCTTAATATATAAATAAAAAACAATTCATAACATAATCTTGGAAATATATTAATAAAAAAAGGCTTGTAGTTAATAGAATAATAATACAAACAAGATAATAATATAATAATTAAAAATGTGTCTTACTAAGATGTAATTAAGGTTAAACAGAGGATTTTGAGTTAAAACAAAATGATTTTTAATGGGATATTGAAAAGTCCAAAAATTGAAGAAGGGATATTCCTCATCCCTCGGCACTGTTCTCAACACTCAAAACTGAAGAAAGAACAAACACTTTATCTCCCAACTCATCTGAAGGAAACCCCTAACAGATTGCCATATCCAAATCTTCTTTTAACAAATTTTGGACGCAACTCAACTCTCTCTCTCTCCTCATTCGTTCCTATCTCTATCCTCATCAACATCAACTCATCATCTTCATCATTTGTCCTGTTACGACTATGATTCAAATTCTCAATAATAATAATAATATTTTTTTAACTACAAATGTGTATACTGTTTTCAACATTTAATTCTTCAACTAAAATACTATTTATCATTTGAATATTTATTAAAAAATACAACTGAATATATTCAAGACACTAATTATTATACAAGCTAGTGAGTATTATTAAATTAAATAACTTTTTAAATAAAAAATCAAAACTATATTACATAATACTTCAAAGTACCAACTATGAATAAATAATTAATTGCTCAGTGAATTGATAATAATGTAAGCTATATATACACAACACAATTTTCTCATCTGAAATGACATAAGACTGTCATTGTGAGAGGAATAGAAGTTGATCCAAAACAGAATGAGGATCGAGCAAGAGAGTGACGGAGTCTCCGCTTCCACAAAGCACCTCGTCTTTGCCTATTACGTCACTGGTCATGGTTTTGGCCATGCCACTCGAGTCACCGAGGTCTCCTTTTTCTTTCTCAAGTCACCACCTTTTTTGTTTTCACGTCATTTTTGGCCAAATGGGGTGCTTCATCACTCTTTTTTTTTTTAGAAAAATTTGATTTTTGTTTATGGGTTTTCAGTTTTGGCTTTGACCAATTCCCAAGAGAAGATGGAGTTTGAATCTTTCCAAGTGTTTTTTTTTCCGTTGTGGGGATTATCAATTTTTTTCCTTTCGTTATGTGATGTGAATTTTGTTTTGGAATGAATCCGTAGGTGGTGAGACATTTGATTCATGCGGGGCATGATGTGCATGTGGTCACTGGTGCTCCTGATTTCGTTTTCACCTCTGAAGTACAGTCTCCTCGCCTATTTATTCGCAAGGTGATTATTTATTTATTTTTATAATTATTCGTTTTTTTTTATTTTTACTTTTAAAGTCTCTTTCCAATGCTACCAAAAATGGGGAGTGTTCATAATCTAGTCAATGATGGATATGTTTGTTAAGGAGGAATTATTAGCTAAATGCATATATGTAACGTGAATTGTATTTGTAGCCTATTCGTCTCGTTTGTGAAAAGTTTCATGAATTCAGTTAAAAATGTAGTTTTAGTTTTTTGCAACCAAAAAAAAATGTTGAAATTAGTCCACATGATTAAGGTGTGTTACTTGTTCAATGGATTTGCTTGTTACTGTTTGTGCGAATTTGTATTCTGAGGTGGATTCGGTGTTGTATATGGGTACAATAATTTTATAGAGATTGCTTTGAAGCACATGCTTATCCCTTTGTGCAAAATAGGTTCTTTTGGACTGTGGAGCTGTTCAGTCAGATGCTTTGACCGTGGATCGCCTTGCTTCGTTGCAGAAGGTATAGTGATGCCATTGCTTTTTGGATTATTTATGGTTTTAATGCTATGAAATAGATGCTTTATTGATTTTTTTCCTGTCGCTAATCCCTTGCCATGTATTTGGTTATGTTAGTATTCTGAAACAGCAGTGAAGCCTCGTGCTGGTATCTTGGCTCAAGAAACAGAATGGCTGAACTCAATCAAAGCTGACTTAGTGGTACATGAATGGTCTGCCCTTTATGATTGGAAACAAAAATGAGAAGAGGAACTGATAAGTAATTCATAATGTTTGGACTTCTGAAAGTTTAATTCAAGGAAAACCATCTTCTTTTGACAAAGAGCTGATAACCAGAAACAAAACAATATTGTGGATTTGATTTCTGCTTTGAGTAACTTTAATTCATTTGTTTAAATTTATCAATGTAAAAGTAAATTTTTGTTAAAAAATTACAATTAAAAGACCTTAAACATCTCTCAGAAAAATATATGAATAGGGCTTTTTAAAATTTAATAAGAATATTTTTGTCTAAAAATTTGGTTTCCTATATTTCTCACTATCTCTTTCATATATTACCAATAAGTATTTTGAAAAACTATTCCTGTCATCATCTCAAAACATCTGAAATATGATTATTTTCTGATTCTGGTTTTTTCTTTTTTTCAAAATCTTATCCATGATCTTAAAATATCTTAAAATGGTTTTAAAATGAAAGTGGTTTTTTTTTTTTTTCACAAAATGATTGTAAATAAACAACCTCGATATTATACCTTTGTGAATCCTTGAAAAACTAATAAGAGAAAACAGGTCTCTGATGTTGTCCCAGTTGCATGTCGAGCAGCAGCAGATGCTGGCATTCGCTCTGTTTGTGTAACCAATTTCAGGTAACTCATGTATACTGCCTTTTTTCCTTCATAATGCTATTTTCTTTAGTTACTTAAAGTAATTGGGTAAGGGAAACCCATCATATGTTAGAAGCATATGTGCTGTTTAGAACTCATTGTCACCCTTGTTCCATATCTTTGTGATTTCAGTTGGGACTTCATCTATGCAGAGTATGTCATGGCTGCTGGACTGCATCACCGTTCAATAGTTTGGCAGGTGATAGCAATGTTCTTTATAGGAACTTATCTTGCTCCATATGTCTGTTTTTGAGAGAAATTTTAGAAGTGACTGATTGTCAGCCTTGCACCCAATGCTATTTGATGTCTTTGCTACGTGAATGGCACATGGATTGAATAGCATACATACTAATAATTTGTGCTATATGATCCTGAGATTTTTGGGCATTGGTGGCCTATCGCTGAAACCTGTCATTTCCTCTGTGAGAGAGTTTCATTGCTGATTGCTTGTGTCAATGTTTGTTTAGAAGCAATTCATTATGTTTTCATACAATTTCCCAATATTTCAGATTTTTAATGCTCAGCATTTTTAGTCACGTGTATAAGACTTGTGACTTGTATATATATTATTCTTAATACTTTTTAACATTCTAAGTAATCAAGGTTGAAGATGAACATGGCAGAATCCACAAATGAATTGATACCTTCTTTCTGCATTTCCTTGACATTTCTTGAATGTATTAGCAATTCGTAAATATATCTGATAATTAATTATTTAAACATATTCCTACTTCTCGTTGATCAAAGTTTGAACTTCTCAAGCAGAGCTGAAATTAATTAGAATATTTGGATGTTGTCTATTCTCTTAGTTTGTAATATATATAAAGCATAACAATAGGCTAAAGGCAAGTAAAACCTTTAAATTGGGAGTGACGTTCTTAGTTTTTTGTTTTTCTGTTAGCTATAATTTGTGCTTAAAACATGAGAAATAAGGGTGTTTGCATATACTCTAATGCAGATAGCTGAGGACTATTCCCATTGTGAATTCCTTATCCGCCTCCCGGGATATTGCCCAAGTATGTCTATTTTACGTAGTTTCATGATTATAACCTAACATAACTAGAATGCCCACCTAATTTGTGATGAGAATGATTAACTAGAATTGTGGCATCTCTGATATTTGCAGTGCCTGCTTTTCGTGATATTATTGATGTCCCTCTGGTAGTGAGGAGGTTGCACAAATCTGCAAAAGAGGTACTACCTTCAAATCTCTGTTGATCTATTTGATAGGATTTTTAGCATTTATTCTGAGCTTGTAATTTTCCATGTTAAAGGCAAGGAAAGAACTTGGAGTAGCTGATGATGTGAAGCTAGTTATTCTCAACTTTGGTGGGCAGGTGATTACCTAGATCTCCACTTTTAAGGACCAGAACTTGATGGTAGTTTTGTGTTTTCTAGATGGATGGTAACAAATGCGTGTACTCTCAGCCCTTTTCCTTTCTTGTTATTTCATGGTTCATGTTCTTGAACTCTGAAATGCTGCAATTCTGTGATGATTTGGTCATTTGGTGTCAGGTGCTTTTATTTTCTTCATCTTAAGTATCAAAGATGAAACCATATGATGCCCCAATTTCCGTTACCATTTTTCCAATTTTTCCATAATTATCTTCTCCTGCCATCATCAATTTGCCAAGAGTTTCAGTTTTCAATTAAAATCTTGTGATTAACTGATTATAAATATGCTGCAGTATTTATGTTCAATTCTGGCAACAGTTCATAGATTTTTGTAAATTCCTTAAGACTCCATCTATTTGATTCTTTCTCGCTACATTAGTTAAGCAGCTTATATAAAATAAGCTTCATGCATACTCACTCTGTTTCTCACCCATTAATATTTTGTAACAACAAACTCTCCCACAAAGCTTAAGCTGTTATGTGAAGGTCTATGAATGGTTTATATTTCTAACATTGCTGCTCATTGATCAGGAGCCTTTGGACTTAAAGAGAGGACAAAGCTCAAGCGCCCATTTTACTGTGTGTTGAAATTCTACTTTATTAGAAAAAAGGAATAATGATCTGATCGGTTGACCAAAATAAAAAAATAAAAATGGAATAGTGGATCTAAATCCTGACTTCTTGCTCATAGAGGCTTTGATACCATGTCCTTCTAAAAGCTTGTTAGAATCAAATGATTTAAAGCACATGTTTAATAATTATAATTATGTATCACTTAAAAGTTACAATACATGTGCTGATTATCTCCTTTTGTAATTGATAATGTACTTGGTATAACTGTAAAATCAGCAGTACCTGTATTGTTGCAATTACCATTTTGGTAGTGACACAAATTCATAATAAAGTCTACAATTCCTATAAAAATATTTTATGGGATTTGTCATTGCCAATATTAATTTGTTATTGTTATTTGGTAATCTATGACCTGATACTTGTAAATTTTACACTTTTCTGGTGTTTGTTCATGCAACTCTACTGAAGTCTCTAAATGGAGTCACACCCAAAATCTGACTTTTACCTTCTATTATGTCGTGTCTCCAGCCATCAGGGTTGAAGCTAAAGGAGGAATTCTTACCACCTGGTTGGTTGTGCTTGGTACTTCAACCACTATGCTATTTATCATTGTCTTTTTGAAAAAGTTCATTTATTATATTCATGCATTATTTGGCGATCTTGCTTTTACAATCCAGGTTTGTGGTGCTCCAGACAATGAAGGCCTTCCACCTAACTTTATGAAACTTGCTAAAGATGCATATACGCCTGACTTGATTGCAGCATCTGACTGTATGCTTGGTCAGTATGAAATCTGCATGGTTGCAAAGCTGGATAAAATGAAAGAGTTATACTAATTGCAGTTTGTCATTTTAGGAAAAATTGGATATGGCACCGTTAGTGAGGCCCTGGCATACAAGTGTCCATTTGTCTTTGTGCGTAGAGATTATTTCAATGAAGAACCCTTTTTAAGAAATATGCTTGAGGTACTTATTGACTTTTTCTGTATTAGTTTTCTATTCTCTTCAATGTTTTTTGTTTGAGAGCATTACAAGTAATTATCTTTTTTTTTTCCTTTTTAGTATTATCAATGTGGTGTGGAAATGATTAGGAGGGATTTACTCACTGGTCACTGGAGACCTTATCTTGAACGTGCAATAAGTTTGAAACCCTGCTATGAAGCAGGCATTAATGGTGGTGAGGTACCCTTTTTTCTTTTATCCATTGACTCTTTTAAAAAGTATTATTTTGCATAACTGGATTTCTTCATGTTACTTCAAAAAGCTTTATTTGTTGATTTTTCTGTAACAAGAATTGATGTAATATAAAAAAATGGCTGGTTAATGATAGCAGTAGGGGTTGGACTCATGTTGAAGAAATACAGGGTCTATGAATCAAGGATGTCTAGATTATTTCTTTATGAACGACAAAAATTTCCTACCTTCATTTTCTCCTGGCCATGAAATGAGCTGAACCATGCACTTTTGGCCCCGTAGGACCCAGTCATAGTTGGGCTCCCTATAGGTAACTCATAAGCCAAATCACATTACCTTGTGCTTGTATTGGGGTTATCACAATGCACAAGCAATGGACCTCTAAGTTTGAATAAAGTAGTTGCTAAATGTGGTGTGTTCCTGTTTAATTATCTACTATTTTTTTCATCGAATATTATACCGCCACTCCATAGAAGCCTGTGAGATTCTTTGCTAATATTGCTTGAGGTATTAAGTCCTGCTTCTAGTTTTGTATATTTGTCAAATCACTGAATTGTTGAATCTTAATAAATGTTGTAAAAGGCAATCTCAATTTGACTCACCTGAAAAGTGCCTGATATTTGATGGCCAGATCTCTGGGTCATCTATTTGATTTGTCATTTTGTAGCTTTTAAACTGTTCTAACCTATAAGGCTTATATTGTCCACATCATTTGTGTTCTTTCAGATCCTATATTTTAATTTTGTGTGTCACTGGTTAATGCCACTTAGGTTTGTAATCCCCACTAGACTAGTTAATTGGAAATGTTGAAAGCTAAGAAAATTTTAAATTTATTTGGTTAGCCAGTTATTATAATATGACCAGTAATATTTCACCTAGCATTGTGATTGCCAGTAGTTTAAATTTTTTAGATGAATTTTGTGACCTCAGTGCATGTTTTTGTAATTTAACTGAAACATTAAAATGTTTATCTTTTTATTGGATAGTAATCAACTTCCCATACTGATTATTTTCTGACCTCATTGCATGTTTGTCATCTTTAAGTTTTTATTTATTTCTAAAAGAGTTGATAATATTTTTCATCAAACATTTTGAAAATGTAGGTGGCAGCACACATCCTGCAGGAGACGGCTTTTGGAAAAAATTATGCATCGGATAAGGTGAATGACTTATGACTGTTGTTAGTTGCAGTGTTGGTTTTTGTTAATTTTATCAAGCTTTTGGTTCCTTTGGTTTCATGAAGATACCGCAAAAGTGATGAAATTTGGATTTTTCTTTCAATTTTGACTTTGATAATATCTAGCTTAGTGGGGCAAGAAGATTGCGTGATGCCATAGTTCTTGGGTATCAACTCCAAAGGGCGCCTGGCCGAGATATTGCAATTCCAGAATGGTATGCAACTGCTGAAAACCAACTTGGCCACACAACACCTGTTTCCCCAGAGGATGATGGAAGCTCTCCATTCGACTCGTGAGTATTGACTTCCCTTTTCACAGTTACAAATTTCTTGGTTGTTTTTTACTAGACAATATAACTGCCTTTTCTTTTGGTTTCTTAAATTCTTCTTCAGGGGCATCGAAGATTTTGACATTCTTCATGGAGATGTTCAATGTCTTCAAGATACTGTAGCATTCTTAAAGAACCTTTCTGAATTACAGGAGAAACACACAAGGAGGGAGCGCAAGGCTGCAGCTAATCTCTTCCACTGGGAGGTCTTACTCATTTCTTGTGAAAATATTTTCTTTATAAAATTCTTCTTGACTGAGATCTCTCAATGGTTACAAGCAATCCTCTTAAAGATAGAAATACTGAAGAAACTGCATTATTATGTCACTACGCTTCATGATCTATTAAATTCAAATACCTATTGTTTTTGTTGTTTGTTCTTTCACTTTTGACTTTTGTTCTATTCTTTTGACAGGAAGAAATTTTTGTGACGAGAGCTCCTGGAAGGTTGGATGTAATGGGCGGTATTGCTGACTATTCTGGAAGCCTTGTCCTTCAGGTTGAATATTTTTATCTCCCAAGAGTGTTTTTTTTCAAAACCATTTGATCCATATAGTTTTGACTGTCTACTTCTTCATGTAGGTTGTCAATTATGATAATAAGTTGTTATAGACTTCATGTTGTAAAATTTAGTTTTAGTGAATCCAACTAAGACATACAGTAGAAGGATAAGATGTGTTTCTACTCCTTTAAAAATAATTAAAAGTGGGATCAGGTGTTGCTTGTTTGATAAAATACTGACTCCTGGGCTTTGTGTGTGTAGTGTGCATGTGTTGGAGATATCTTATGCTCTTTGTAGTTGTGTTTATTTCTGTTCTCTGTAATTAAACTTCTTTTTCCATTGTTTTTTCTTAAAAACCCACTTCAGACCGGAAAACACAAACTATTTTAATTCTTTATTGCAGACATGAAATTTAATGTGGGGCCTAAATATATCAAATAGAATAATGAGCTTACTGAGTACTGACACTAGTATGCAGCATTTTCAGGGGAATATATGCGTTGGTTGACAATGATTAAATTCAAGTTTTAAAATTTTAGACAACTACTCATTCTGTGGTCTTGTGCTTTTTTCTTATTCTTTTTATTCTATTGCAGATGCCAATTAAAGAAGCCTGCCATGTTGCTTGCCAAAGAGTCCATCCAAGTAAACATAGGCTGTGGAAACATGCTGAGGCTCGACAAAATGACAAGGGAGGAAATCCAACTGCTGTCTTGCAAATAGTATGTTAGGGAACATGCGAAAATTCTATGTACTACTTTCAGTTAATATTGATAACTATTCATTGGAGTTTGCATAACAACGGAGCATGACTAGTGAATCTCGATGAAAAATTGTATACATTGTTCTAGATGTCTTCATCTACTTGCAGTTTTAAAGATGATAATGCCTTTCTTAATGTGTTTTTTCACTGAATCTGGTTCATGTCAGGTATCATATGGCTCAGAATTGAGCAATCGTGGTCCAACATTTGACATGGATTTGTCTGATTTTATGGAGGAAGACAAGCCAATCTCATATGAGAAAGCAAAGAAATACTTTGCCCAAGATCCTTCCCAAAAGTGGGTAGCACTTATGCTTGATTTTATTTGAACGAGGCATTTTTGACCATTTATTATACTAATATGGTTAACTTTCACAGGTGGGCAGCATATGTTGCAGGGGCAATTTTGGTCTTAATGACTGAACTGGGTGTGCGATTTGAAGACAGTATTAGCATGCTGGTACAACCTATCATCTACCTATGTTACCATTACTTCATTTTAGTAAACAGAATATTCTACTGATTTCTCAAAGAATTTTCCAGGAGTATTGATAACATAATTGGCACTTAGTTTTGCTTTCAACCGATTTCTTGAAAGGTGTAAAATTGTATCAGACTTATTAGTACTATATTGTTAATTGTAGGGTGTTTCCATTTTCAATTTACTTTATTAGTACCTGAAGTGAAGCTGCTCAACAGACTGGATTTGAGTAGTATACCCAGCTCCATTTAATTGTATTAATAAGCAATGAAGCTGATTTCAGTTTCCCTATTTACTTGTTATCTTGGATTGATTTTCTTATTTCCTTATATTTCATGATTTGTTTCCTTATTTAATAAGGATTAGTGTTTATTTTTTTCAAATTGTAATACATCCAATACACAAAAGAATATTATTCAAAGTCTCATCTCAATTTCTTCTTTGAATACCTAAAACCTGTAATTTCAACATTAATATCATCAATATTTTATTACTTTCTAGCTTGGCTGTGTTTGTTGTTCCTGCAATTCATTTTCCGTTTCACCTGTGTGGCCTCTGACCACCCAGCTTTGAAGTTTCTTATATTTCCTTTGTTGAGAGGCAAATAGCTTAATAGGTTTCCACTATAAAACCTTAATGGCTATTTGTCTTAGAGTAAAAAAATTAGTATAAAATTATTTTTTATATTAGAATATCAGGACAATCTTTTACTGAAGTTGGGGGGTGTAATAAGAAGAACCAGTTGTATAGGCTATTGATGGAAGGATCATTCTTCTCAGTGCCATATTGAAACATTTATCCTGGCCTATAATTGTGCTACTTACTCTCTCCATATTTTTTTTTCTAATATCTATATATTGTAAACAAATATGTAGGTTTCGTCTGCAGTTCCAGAAGGGAAAGGCGTATCATCTTCTGCATCTGTGGAGGTTGCTAGTATGTCTGCTATTGCAGCTGCTCATGGTAATCATGCTTTGTTTTAATGTTCATTTTTTGACAGCTAAACTTTAAGCTCTTCCATTATTTTTGGACACTTCATTTTTCTTCCGTGGAGTAAAATTAATCTTCATATTTGTTAAGTTGATTAAATTTTAAGCTCTTTCAATATTGATTTAAGTTAATTTCTATCTGTGTAACTCAGGATTAAATATCAGCCCAAGGGATTTGGCCATTCTCTGCCAGAAGGTTGGACTTCATGCAGCATTCTGATCAATATTGATTTTGTATGATGTATATTTTATCCCTAGAATGCATTGTCCTCTTAATGTTATTTCACTCATTCTCTTAAAATTTTCATCAGGTGGAAAATCACATTGTAGGAGCTCCATGTGGTGTCATGGACCAGATGGCTTCAGCATGTGGGGAAGCCAACAAACTTCTTGCTATGATTTGCCAGGTGTGTATCATTACAAGCTATAAAAAACATTGCTTTCTTTTTCTTTAGATGGAATATCACAGTACTGCTTGTCATTGATGCAGCCTGCAGAGATTGTTGGCCTTGTTGAAATTCCCAGCCATATCAGGGTCTGGGGAATTGATTCTGGAATAAGACACAGGTTGGTAGCCTATCGTTAATTGCAAAATTTCTTGAATATATCCTTTTCTGTTTTGTGCTCGTCAGTTTGGGCTTTCCTGTAATTAATAATTTTACATATCAAGAAATTAGAAGGATGCAATCAAAATTAGACTTTAACCGGCTTTGGTCCAACCATGTGATGTTATGAGGCTAAAGAAATACCTACAACTAGACCTACCTACCATATATATTATTAGTTTGAAGCTTCTAAATTTATAATTAAATCCTGTTTCAGATATATGATAAGTTGTTAATAAGCCTTCACATTAGTAGTCTAAGCTTTTAGGATGAGTTGGTTGTTGATGTAATCTAATAACATTAACAACACCCAAGGGTATATCCCTGGGCAACTCATATTCTGAAAATTAAGGATGCCAAAAATGTGGCGTTGACCTATTGACTTCATGATGCAAAGCTGCTATCCAATGCTGTTCATTTTTCTCTTATTCCCACATGTTTCCTTTTGAAATTCATGATTTATATATGTTTCTAGCATACTTTCTACATTAGTTGGCAACATAATTTCAAAGAAGACTTCTGCAGTGTTTATACTCATTTTCAGTTTATTTTGTGTTTGTACAATCTTTAGATCTAATATAGATCTTTATTGATTATTGTCCAACTTGTGGTATATGTATATAATGAAAGTATGTACTTGTAAATCATGTTTAAGGTTGTTTCATCTTTGACCTGTTTTTGTGATTTTCCTAACTTTCATGAAGGTATGTTACTTGGGTTAGGTATATAAGAATAATTCATGAGCCTTCATCCAACAACTTAAGCTTTTCGGATAGTTTAATCCTTTAGCAAGAGCATCCTATTTTGTTCCTCATTCTATCTTCATGATGTTCATGAACTAACCTAAGTGTTTCCATTTCAGTGTTGGAGGTGCAGACTATGGTTCTGTCCGAATTGGCACCTTTATGGGTATGAAGATGATAAAGGCCAGGGCTTCTGAGGTATTGTCTGAGATGTGTGCTGCTAATGGGTTGAACTACGAAGAAGTGGAACAAGATGATCTAGAACTACTTAAACAAGAAGCCTCCTTAGACTACTTATGTAATTTGTCACCTCACAGGTAAACCTTTTTTTCCCTTTTTTTGAAAAAGGAAATATGAGTGGCAATTACTTTTTAGGAGTAAAGTTTGGAAGAGCTTATGAAAAACAACTCATGGCTCCCATAAGCTATTTTCATCTTATTTCAATAAGCTTCTTGGTATAACTTATCAAAATAAGTTGTTTTTAGCTTATCCTAATAAGTTTCATTGTTAAATTTATGATTTAAGTTATCGTTTTAAAACGATCTTATTGATTAAATGCTTAAATAAGCAGTTATCCAAACAAGATATTCTAATAATCTACTAATTGGATTATTGTGCTTTGCAATTTTATTTTTTTTTACATTTTCAATTTTTACATCAACTTGCTGTTTTAGAGCTCCTTATATCTTGAAGTAAATATAGTATTAATTTTTATTTGCAGATTTGAGGCTCTTTATACAAAGAAAATTCCAGAGTCCATTGGTGGGGAGACATTTTTGGAGGAATATAAAAATCATAATGATCCTGTCACTATTATTGATCAGAAGCGTACTTATGGAGTCAAAGCTCCCACGATGCATCCTATCTATGAAAATTTCCGAGTCAAGGTTAGGACGTAACTAAATAATTTAATTGGCTAAGAGTAACTGCTTGTTTGCTTTAATTGTTTCATTCTTTTGCCTGATTATTTTTTGTAACAGTTTGAGTAGAACTCTGCTCTGCTAATCTGCTACTTAAGAAAATTTATCTTGATATTAATTTTTTTCAAGTTAATTATGTAGTCTAGCCAGTGTATAAGGTTTTACAACTCAGTCATGTACATTTGGCATATAACTAACATTTTTGGTTGCTCATAATTTAAATTTTTACAATGACTTGCTTTTTAGTTTTTTTCCCTGATACAATAACTTTACTTGTTATTACGAATCAGTTATATTTCATGTTTCTTGTTATACATATTTTATAAATTAATCAGTTCTGCTGTAATACGGTGTGCAGACCTTCAAGGCACTTCTCACGTCGGCAACTTCAATCGAGCAACTTACAGCCTTAGGAGAATTATTATATCAGGTGGACGTAATTTGGTTTTTGACCGAGTACAATGACAAATGACATTTTGTGATTCATTTAGCCAACTTCACCTAATGGAATAAGACTTAACTTTTGTTGATCTAGTTATAATGAAATTGAATTAACAATTTTAGATGTACAATTCTTTAATACTGGTTCCTATTTTAATATTTTGAACCAGGATTTTCAGCTTGTCATGACAAAGCATTGCTTTTAACCTGTTGTGCATAAAATGAAAATTTTAAAAGTATTTTGTTAAATGTCTATCTTATTTGCTGCTAATTTGGTTAAATTAAAATGCAAATTAATAGCTGGAGTTTTAATAGTTTGGTCAAAATTCAGTCTTAACAGCTCATTACTTGTTTGATAGGAAACTATTTTTCTTGTCCCCACCTTCTTGAAAATAAACTTTAGTATTGGAATTGAAGAATTAAAAAAAGTATAAAATAGAGAAGTAATTGAATTTCAACTATCATTTGCAGTGTCACTATAGCTACAGTGCTTGTGGACTTGGCTCTGATGGAACAGACAGGCTTGTACACTTGGTACAAGAGTTGCAGCATAGTCAAGCATCTAAATCTGAAGGTGGGACATTATGTGGAGCCAAAATAACTGGTGGTGGTTCAGGTGGAACAGTTTGTGTAATTGGTAGAAATTCTCTCAAGGCCAGTGAACATATTTTTGAGGTATTTTTTTTAAATTTTATTATGAATTTAAGTTACTGTTATAATTAAGAAATACTTCACATCTCTTTTGGATGCAAGGTGGGAAAAAACTTTTTATCATATTCATAATGAGGTAGAAGTTTATTATCATATAATATTGGCTTAAATAAGTTTTTGGCCTATAAAAATTTCATGATTTTTTTGTTTAGTCCTTCATTCATTCTTGATTTTTTTAAAATAAATTGTTCATAATATATTTTTCTTTACCATATGGTTCCCTTATAATTTTTATTTCCCATTTGGTTCCCAGGAGGGACTAAATGGAAAATTCATTATATTTATAATGGACACACTTAAAAAAAATTAAAAATGAGATACCAAATCGGGAAATGGTGAGTTTTTAGTAACCAAAATCTTACTTATGCCTATCACATTTTACCAGTTTAATTGAATTACTAAAGGAAAATGAGTGTTACATTAAAAAACAAAATCCCCTTGCTTGTTAGTCATCCAAACATGGATAAAAATAAGCCATTCTTTTCAATTATGTTCTTTCTTATCCATTCCATCTCATTCCTTCTAGATTTTTTCAAACAAAACCATAGTAAATGAGACTTCATGAAATACTAGTTATGAATTCTACATCAAATTGTGATTTCAGGTTCAACAGAGGTATAAGAAAGCTACTGGCTACTTGCCCTTCATTTTTGAGGGCTCATCACCAGGTGCTGGAAAGTTTGGATACCTGAAAATACGCCGTCGAGCTACCCCTAAAAAGGCTAACGCCGGCGGTGATGATGGTGCAGTCACGGTGGAGAATAACACCTGATCATGGCTCATAGTTAAGAACCTTAGTAATTCTTGCCTTTACTATCTTTTACCAGAACATGTATATTATTATGGTTATGTTTTCACCCATTTCAATCATTAATTGACATTTTTAAAATTTAAAATACTTTATGATTTTTTATTCCAATTTTTGGCCATAATAGAACTTAACTGGCCTTTTAGAATTTCTAAATTGTGAATAAATAATGAAATAATTGTTGAGTATGAATAGTTGTTTACGTGATATTCTAAATTTTAAGTTTTATTTGCTTTGGATTGTTCCAGATGTGCATGTTTTCTCTACACAGTTAAATGACACTTTGCTATTGTAGCAGACGAAAATTATTTGAAATCAAATGGAAATTAACATCAACTCTCGCGGGACAAAATGTGCAAATAATTATCTCATCATTAATCTAGAGCTATTTATTTTATTAGAAGAAACAGTATAATAATTATTATTAGTAATTGAAAAATTAACAGTTAAAATAATGGTAGATTGAAGTTTTTGTCAATTTTTTAATTAGTAGCGATTGTTTTGTAGTATATTTTGGAATTGATGAAGTGTATGGATTTTTTTCAAAAATAAAATATTTTAAATAATAAACTATGTATATATCTTAAAAAAAAATTTGTACATAAATGTCCTAAATTGAATTGTATAGAAGTCAATTATAATCGATTTTTCTATTAAATTAAAATTGAATATAATTAACTTTAATTTAATAGAGAAGTCGATTATAATTATTTTTTATTATGCAATAAGGAAGTTGATTATAATCGACTTTTTTATTAAATTGAAGTCAATTATAATTGACTTCTGCAACGCATAAAGTACGGATTCAGGTTCATCTTTCAATCAAGCACTACTTGAAAGTCAGGATAGATCGGAAGGAGTACGCTTTAAGAGCAGCTTTCCCCGTTCTAACCGATGCATTCAAGCTCATTTAACTTGGTTCTAGTGTTGTGACTGGTACTCTACCAAATCAATAAATTCTTAGATTGGTTGCTTCTGAGAGAGCAGCTCTTTCGACATATTTCCATTAAAAAAATAAAATTTTAATTAAATTTGTTAATATTTTATAATTTATTTAAAATTCTTACCCAAATTAAAAAAATAATTTTAATTAAATTTGTTAATATTTTCATATAATAATTAAAATTCTAAAGTAGATGTCAGTACTGTGATGAGGCGCATATACTAGCCGCAGTCCCAGCACATAATGAAGAATATGATACAAATCCAACTGTACAGCATATCTCACACTACGCATACCACTCGATACCTACATACCATAACCACCACTTTATGTCAGGACCTAGCCAACAGTATTACATGGTTGGTCCTTCTCAGCACCAATTTATGCCAGGCCCTACCCAACCATGTATGACCCTGAGCTAGCATTTTATGGCAGGCCCTAATCATCAGTTCATGTTAGATGCTGAGATTACTCCTAGTCCTATGCAACATTTTTTCATAGGTCTAGCTCATGATGATATTGCACGACATATATCATTCAGTCTACCGTTCATGTCACCACCACCAGATAATCTATATCGACCATCACTAATATATATCCAAACTCTCACCTTTAATGGTTCATCAAAGGAGGAGGAGGAGGACCACACACATGTCCAACAGCAGGAAGTGGATGATTAGAACATGTATCAGTAGGAGGAGGAACATGCACACCACAGACTTGTACAACAGATTGTATATCGTCGTTGTGCAACAAGAGTCACCTTGCTAGGCCCAAACGCAACAGGTGTAGCTCATAGTCACATATGCTGAATGGTGATTTATTTTAAAATTTTAATTTCATATATTTTAAAATTTGAATTTTATGCAGTTTATAATTTAAATTATTTGTCTTTTAAAATATTATTTTTACATTGATATTATTTAATTATTATATAAATATATTAACAAATTTAATTAAAATTATATTTTTTAATTTAGATAAGAATTTTAAATAAATTATAAAATATTAACAAATTTAATTAAAATTTTATTTTTTTAATGAGAATATGCGTTGCTGAAGTCGATTATAATCGACTTCAATTTAATAAAAAAGTCGATTATAATCGACTTTCTTATTGCATAATAGAAAACGATTATAATTGACTTCTATACAATTTAATTTAAGACATTTATGTATAAATTTTTTTTAAGGCATATACGTAATTTATTATTTAAAATATTTTATTTTTGTAAAAAATCCTAAATTATAGGATTTTTTTTATTAATATTTTAAATCTATATCTTATTATATATTATTTTAAATATAATTGACTGACTCAGTAACTTAGTAATCCAATGTTATTTTAAATGTATCATTAATAAGTTCGAGTTAACAACTTTGGTCCTATACGTTATTTGGATCTTGCATTTTGTAGTGAGTGACTAAATGATTTCCTTCAAATGTTAATTGCTTGATGATTTTTCTCAAAATTTGCACTTCGATTCGAACCTTTCATCAACTTGATGCAAAGTAAAATACAGTTACACACTTGATGAGTTTGCATTGCCAAGTTACCAAAATTGCACAAAACTAAAAAAAGAACATAACAAGAAAAGAAATACTGATTCATTGATCACAAAACACCAATTTGCCACCTTTGTAACACAACCCTTGTTCCCCAACAGAATCAACAAGTTTCCCATAACTAAACTTCAAAGGCATTCTCCCCAACTGCTTATGAAACTCCCTTATACACCAACCTCTCCTCTTCCTATGTTCCCCTTTTCTGCTACTCAAACCCACACTCAAACCCAAATCTTCAATCTCTTCATTCCTGGCATCACCATAATCCCTAACCTTCCTTGCCCCAACCAAAACGGGTCCCACATTGCTGAAATCAGCAACCACGAAATTCATTAGTATGTCCTCACAATTCCTAACCGCATCAACAACGCTCCGCATTTTCGCCATGCGAGCCCCACCCTCGCACGTGTAAAGGAACAAGTAACGGCTTCTAAGGAGCATGTACTTGGTTAACACGATGGAGAACCGGTCCGGGTGAACCGTGTACACCCACTCCTTCCGGTTCAGGTCCACGTCGTGAGACCTCGCGAACACTCCCACTAAACGGTGCGGGTTGCTTTGCCAGACGCGGAACGCGAACTCGAACGACGCGCCGTCCACCTCCACGTCGTCGTCGCATATCAGAACGGCGTCCGTCGTGATGTCGTTCGGGCGAGGGAGGAACCGCGCGTTGAGGCTGCTGGAGGGGTTCCGGTGTACGGAGATTGGTGCGGACGAGGAGGAGAGCGAGAGGTTCAGGGCCAATTGATGAAGGACACGTGGCGGAGTTGAAGGATTTCCCCAGAGAACCATCACGGAGGATACGAGCGGAGAGAGCGAGTACGTGGCGGCCAGTGATTGGAGCAGGGGAATGCGCGACTCGGAGAAGCCGTTCATGAGCACCGTGATCTTGTCGTGACGGAGGTTCTGTGTGTCCCACTTTTGTGTGGGCCCGCACCCGTTCTGGTCTGAGGAGTTTGCAACGACGTTTAATAACAGGACGGCGAGGAGGATCGCCGTCGCCGCCGAACTCATCGCGATTACCGGTTAAACAAAAATAGTAAATCCTTCGATTTTGAATTTTGAGGTTATTATATTTATTATCAGCGAAATGGGTTCGGTGTTGACGCAGGATGGGAACTGAAGTGGAAGATGATCTATCTTCGTGGGAGTGGCCTTATTGTTATTATGTGAAAAAGCGAGGTTAGAGATGTTACAGGTTGCTGATAACGGTGGGACAGTGCAGTTGACGCGAGAACTGCACAGTTCTTCTTCGCTTAAGTCAATTTGAGAAGGCTTAAGTGAATTTTACAATTTTCACTTAAGCTCATATAAACTGGGTTAAGCGAATGAAGGCTTAAGCCATTACTATAAGCATGGAGTGAGATATTGAACTAAAATGAGTGCGTGAAGCTTGAGTTAAAATATATGTGTTTAAGCAAAAAATAATAGAACTTACCTCTCAGGATTACAAACTGGCTTAAGCGTGCTTGATTTATCTTAAGCTGATGAGTTTAGCTTAAGCTGATGAGTTGTGGGCTCAAACGCATATTTATAAGGCTTAAACAAGTAAATGATGGGCTTAAGCGAAACCTTAATGGCTTAAGCTTAAAAAAATAGAGAGCACACCTCCCAGGATTACACATTCGCTTAAGCTTGCATGGCTTGACTTAAGCGGATGAACTAATAGCTTAAGCAAAAATTGCATAAAAATATTGCAGAGAGAATGCTCTTTTGGACTGATAAATTAGCTTAAGCTATTACATATTGGCTTAAGCGAACCAATACCAGCTTAAGCGAGTACTATGTAGCTTAAGCGAAAATTGTGAGCTTAAGCGATTATTGGGGGGCTTAAGCGAATATGCAGGAAAATTGAAAAACAACAGCTTAAATTGACAGACATGGATATACTATTTCTAAAAATAAAATATATTTGTCCTTTACATAATTGTTTTTGGCAAAACGAAATAAAATGATTAAGATACAACAACTTTTAATTATTAATCAAGGATTGAACAAGTTGTGTTATCCACAGGGTCCTGAAAAAAAAACATAAATCCATCAAACAAAATTATACAACGATGAACTAAAGCACTCAATTTTCATTTTGAAATTTAATGAACGTACGGTCAAGAATGTCGTGAAACTGAATTGGTTGTTCAAAGTTTGAGGAGGATGATAAGATAGAGGTGCTGAACAATGTATATCACAAGGTTCAGAAGGAGGATTGGGTTGATATTCCTAAAATATTTATCAAATAAACACCATATGGTTAATAAGGAATCAAAATTGAAATTAATGCATTGGCAAATTAATTGATATATGTACCTCCGCATGTTGGTTTTGTAATTGACCTCTCGTTATCCTATTTCTTTTCCTTTTTTCTTGTAGTTCAACCCAACTTTTGAATCGTTTATATGTATTCCTCTTTCAGCTTGGTCGGTGCTTGAAACCTTTTGAGATTGTACCATCATTGATCATCGACTTAGATGCATGATTGTCAGTGTGACTGTCAACATGTTGTGTTTGTAATTGAAGGTGTGAGATTTGACGACACACAGCATTTAAACATTCATCCACTAATGTCGAGTATTCCTCTGAACTAGATACCTCTGATGCAAGTCTAATCATTTTAGAAGCAAGTTGTTTGTATCGTTGCATGGTAGCAACTTTTGAATCCCCCTCAATCTCTCTTCGTATGAAATTGTTTATAATGCCGGAACGACCTTCCTTTGTCCATCTCTTAAGGATATATTTTTTAGGAATAGCCTTGACATCATTTGCTTCAAATACCTTCAATGCATGGGAACAAAGCATACCAAATGTTTCAAATTTTTTACAGGTGCAAGAAATTGATTTTGAGACATTATCAAATGATACTCTGCATGATTTTTCGTGACTGACTGTAGTGATGACATATTCAAATATAGGAGGAGATTCAATCCTCTCTGAAATGCAACATGCTAAGAATGGAGTAAATTCTTGTTGGAAAATGGTGAATATAGGATGAGTGTAAATTTTTCCCATTTGTATCAAGATGGGAGACATCTCATATCTCAACATTGGTAGCTTATGTCGGGACTCATACTCACAAATTAGTTCATTGTAACGCTTTGCTTCAACTATACGTTCAAAACTTTGAAAGAATTGTTTAATGCTAACACCAGGTTTCATAGAAGCTTTGAAATCAGAATTTAAACTTTTAGAAAGTTAAGTACTCCGCATCCCTAGGGTGACAACTTCTTTCATATAACATGATGCCCATTTTTCCTTTATGGCATAAAGTGAGTTCATCCAATTGTTGTCATGGACATTGTACTCTTGAACGATCTTGGTCCAAGCTTTCTCAAAGTCAGTGAAGGTATCAAAGTCATACATGCATTTTTTGAAGTCTCTTAAAAAATGACTTCCACCCTTCATCAAATTACCAAGGTGTTTGATCCCATTTTGCATTAAACGCCATGTGCACAAGGAATGATGTGTCTCTGGCATGACTTCTACAAGGGCCTTAGCCATGGCTTGATCTTGGTCAGTAAACATCGTTAATGGTTTTTTGTGATTATGTGCTTCTGAAAATGTTTCAAACAACCATTTAAACGAATTAGTCGTTTCATTATATAACAAAGCTGCACCATAAATGATGGTGGTTCTATAATGGTTAAAACCTGTGAATAAGACAAGAGGTCTATTTGCACGATTAGTGCAACATGTAATGTCCAAAGAAACTACATCACCAAAATATGCATAATCTAAAATCATCTTCGCGTCAGCCCAACAAACATTTGTAATTTGTTCATCACAATCCATCTGATATGCATGAAAAAATGAAGGATTATCTAACAACTGTTGTTGAAAATATTCCATCACACAACCAACTTCTCCATAAACCATACTTCTTTGTCTTCTTTCCTTCACGTAATTCTTTGCATCCAACCGAGTATATCTGGCATTGTATCTATTGCCTGCAAGTGTGCTTTGGAGTTGAAATGAGGACTTTTGTTGCAAACCAGATTCTTGAGCCATTTCAATCTCATAATCTTGAACTTCACTTATCTTATGATGAGAAGCAAACATGTGAGTTGTCTCCTCAAGTTGTAAGGGATGATTATGATCTTCTACAAACTCATGAATTATAAACTTCCCATTCTTCCCCAAAGATATTGCAATTCTCACAGAACAATCTGTTCTTGTCTCAACTCTATGTTTAGCAACTTGACAATCTTGTTTCTTTCCTTTTCGAAGACCTTCTTTACAACAAACGTATCTGCAAGAAGTAATAGCACCATCTTCCTTTCTCTTATTAAAATACTGCTTTCTAACTCCAAATCCGATCCTCCTACCATATTCAGTCCAAAAATTCCATGCTTGTTCTACATTATCAAACTCTAATCCAACTTTTGGTTCCATTCCACAATGTTTTTAGTTATGTCTTCTACCAAAAACATAAACAAAAAATCCCATGTTAAACATCTCACATATTCCTCCATTTAGGTTATAGCAAATGCAAAAGATGTAAATGTTAAAATGAAAAAAGATACCTGACAATGGAGATGGTTCCATGGTTATCAATGTCAATAAAGCTCTAAGTTAGTATATGTTGAATGTAACTTGTTTAGGGGTTAAATGAAGCTTTTCTTCAAGCTTACGCCACACAAATGGAGGATTTGCGCCAAAACGACGCTGGTTCGCTTAAACGTACATATACCGCTTAAGCAAAAGTTGTAATTTTTAAGCGACAATTCTCGCTTAAGCTCATTACGGCTTAAGCTATACTTTATTGGCTTAAGCGCTTAAGAGCTTAAGCGATTTTGTAGTGGCTTAAGTGAGGGACCAGAAAACCATTCACCTCTCAACTTATTAAAATTGGGATACAGGCTTAAGTTATCATGTTGTGGCTTAAGCGAGGTTGTAGTGGCTTAAGCGAGGAACTAGAAAACCATTTACCTCCTTACTTTTAAAATTGCGCTTAAGCAAGATATACCCGCTTAAGCGAATTTGTCGACGCAGCCCAGACTTAAACCCATTCTCTCATTTCATTCATTTCATCCTTATATCAAAAAATATTCAAAAACCCTAAACCCCACAACCCCAAAGCGACAATTCTCCCCATTACAACATTCCTCTCCCATTATCAAAGCAACCCAACGATTGCAGGTAATAACTCTTACACTCACATTGTTGTTCTCCTTACTTTTAGGTTAGGGATGGTTAATGGAGATGAGGATACTATTATGGAAACACTGCTTTCAAGGGTTTAGGGTTAAAGTTTTTGGGTTTAGGATTATCACTCTGCTTGCTGTTAGATTGACATCAATCTTTATGTGAAGCGAGGTTGTTTCTGTAAAGAAACGCTTAAGCGTGCCTAAGTCGCTTAAGCGCTTATTACTCGCTTTAGCGCCTCATTGTGGCTTAAGCGAGTAGTGAGATTTGTCTCTCTATATGTGTATTTTTCATTTTTCTAAGTATTGAGATTTGTTACCTTGCAGATATGGCTCCTAAAAAATCAATTCCCTAAAGAAAGAAGCAACTTTCAGATGTTGGAGAAGCTTCACAACATGTACACCATAGAGAAACTCAGGATAATGAACCTCCAACACAACCGAGCCCCAGTCAACAACTTACCTTTGACAGATACAGGTTTTTCAGTCTAGCCCATTTTCAGAGATATTTGAAATTACACTCAAGGGAACTTCTACCTGAAAGGAAAATTATTTTGGAGGAGGGACAATTTGCTGAATTTACAGAAGAACTTCAGAGGAGAAAATGGAATATATTGCCTGACCCACCAAATAAAATTGATGAAGACATAGTGAAGGAGTTTTATGCCAATGCATGGCCCTTGCATCCACAAAAATCTGAGAAGAAATCTTGCGTTAGAAGGACATCCATCTCCTATGATAGGAATGCTATCAATGCATTACTAGGGAACCCCTTCACCTTAGAAGAAGGGCAGTTGTGCGAATACCAGCAGCGGAGGCGCCTGACTACAGGATTTAATGATGATGATGTAGCAAGGTCTTTATGCATTCCCAACAAATCATATGAAACTAACTATCAAGGCAAGCCAAAGAGGTTCAAGAGAGGGAATTTGAAGACATTGACTCAAATATGGATGTCATTTCTCTTTGTAAACATTGCTCTAACCACTCACACATCAGATCTCCGCATGCCTCGGGCCTACCTTGTCTTCAGCATTATGGAAAACCTCACAATCGACATTGCAACTATGATCTCTGAGGAGATTCACCAGCTTGTTATGTCCACCAACTCCCCTAATGCATCTGCAACAAAGCCCTTGGGCTTCCCAGCATTAATCACTGCTTTATGTGCTGCCCAAGGTGTTCAGATACCAAACAATCCAACACAAAGCATCAAGCTGAAAAAACCTATAAATGCCCAATGCATAAACAACTATTGCATTAACTCATTGGACCAGCCACAGCCACAACCACACCCTGCTTTTGATCCTTCTTCATCAGCATCACCATCAGCACAACCATCCATCCCCAAAATGACACCTATGGAATGGCGTATCACACAACATCTGAATCAAATACAGCAACAAATGGAGGACAACAATCAGACATATACACATATACACTATCAGATGACGGCAAACCATCGAGCCTACACCAGCCTTAATGACTCTTTCTACCGCTTTATCCTACATCAGCATGCAGGAGAGACTTCAACATTTTCATGGCCAACCCAGAGGATTTTGCAGCTGTAATGTCATGGCCTAGAGACACATCTTCCTTCTCAAATGAACCTAATGCAAATCATGAAGATGGTGGACCACAAGGAGAGGAACCAGAAGAAAGGGGAGAAGGAGAAGGGGAAGTAGAAGAAACGGAAGCACAACTTGATCATGAAGGTGGTGATGGGGAAGGAGACCACGTGGAGGATGACCAACCTATTCATAATGATGTTCATTTATAAGATGCATGAACACTTTATTTTTTCTTTATTTGCTTTTTAAAGTTTAGATTTTAGTTTATGTTTGAAGTTAGTTCATATTGTAAAGTTTCAAGGACCTATTTAGTTTGTTGCAGCTAAATTATGAAATTTCACTTTATTAACCACTTATTTAAATTCCTTTCAATTTGATTCTCTTTTATAATTTGTATGACTTGTTTACTAAATAAACCCAACAAATTACCTTATAAATTAAAACTTATCACATACATATAGTAATCATTTTATTTCGTTTTGCCAAAAATAATTATGTAAATGACAAATGTATTTTGTTTTCAGAAATAGTATATTCATGTCTGTCAATTTAAGTTATTGTTTTTCAAGTTTCCTGCATATTCGCTTAAGCCCCTTAATAATCGCTTAAGCTCACAATTTTCGCTTAAGCTACATAATACTCGCTTAAACTGGTATTGGTTCACTTAAGTCAATCTGTAATAGCTTAAGCTAGTTTATCAGTCCAAAAGAGCATTCTCTGCATTATTTTTATGCAATTTTCGCTTAAGCTAAAGCATATCCGCTTAAACAATTAGTTCATCCGCTTAAGCCAAGCCATGCAAGCTTAAGCGAATGTGTAATCCTGGGAGGTGTGCTCTCTATTTTTTTAGGCTTAAGCCATTAAGGTTTCGCTTAAGCCCATCATTTACTCGCTTAAGCCTTATAAATATGCGCTTAAGCCCACAACTCATCAGTTTAAGCTAAATCAAGCATGCTTAAGCCAGTTTGTAATCCTAGGAGGTAGGCTCTCTGTTATTTTTGCTTAAACGCATATATTTTAGTTCAAGCGCATCACGCACTCGCTTTAGTTCAATGTCTCGCTCCATGCTTGTAGTAATGGCTTAAGCCTTCATTTGCTTAAGCTAGCTTATATGGGCTTAAACGAAAATTGTAAAATTCGCTTAAGCCTTCTCAAATTGGCTTAAGCGAATGAAGAACTGCACGTGCAGTTCCCGCGTCAATTACACTGGATCCGTATCCGATAATGGTGGTCGCTTCGATGGGATTGTTTCTTTTGAATCGTGTTATATACGCTTTATGCGTGTGGTGCTGTTTTTAATATGAAGGAAAATCATAATTTTAGTAATTTAATTTATTAATTGGTACACTATTTGTCAAAATAGAAAGGTATAGCAATATCATTTGGATCATTCATCCGTTTAATGATTTCAAATAGGTTCCGATTTTTGTCGGGTTGTTGATCCCTTGCTATACCTCAATTTAATAATTTTTTTTAAATAATTTAATTAATATATAATTACAAGTAAAAAATAAGATAATACTACCTTCTATTTTTTATAAAAAATAAAATAAAATATTTTTTTATCTTTATTATAGGAAATAAATGATAAATTTAAAATATATTAATTATTAATTTTTTTATATTTTTTAATATTATTAAATATATACATTATTAATTATATTATAGATATTTTTAATATAAAATTTATATTTATAAAAAATATAACTGAATTAATTATTTTTTAAATCCGGTGATTTAGTCAACCGTTTTTGCCGCGTTAGTGTGTCTTGCACAAGAGGAATGAAAACGATAATATTTAATATTAACGACAAATAATAAAAATATCTTATAATTTGAGAGACGTCCATTTTATGTAAAAAAAAATTATTTAAATTTTAAAAATTAAATAAAAAATTATGACATAATAGCAAAATATAAGTTGATTTTAAGGAGTTAACTACTTAATTTTACCCTCTCAGGAAAAATTTATCCAAACAATAAAATATATTTTAAGAAGATAACACTCCCAATTTCAAGAAACCCGTTTTGTCGATTTCATCACAAATAACAATGCATAATTTTATAATCTGTGGTTTAATCTAGGGCTTATAGAAAAAAATATAGAAAAACCACTCGTGCTTGGCGTGGATACTTCAGAACGACGTCGTTGTTTTCGTTCTGAGTGCACACGTGTACACTACCACGTCACCTTAAATCCCCAGCAACTGTGCTTCACTCATTTGTCTCTCACTCAGAAACACACCTCAAACAAAGAAAAAATGAAATCCTCTGACGGAGCTTCTACGAACGAAAAGCTCTTAGAAAATGGAACTTCTTCTTCTTCTTCCCCCAGAAAAGGTGGCTTGAGAACCATGCCTTTCATCATCGGTACGTTTTTTTGAACTTTGACTCAAGATAGTACTCTGCTTACTTAAACTACGTCGTTTAATTGAGCTTTTGAATTGAAACAGTGAACGAGTGTTTGGAGAAGGTGGCAAGCTATGGATTATTGCCTAACATGATATTGTACTTGACCAGAGATTATAACATGTCTGTTGCCGAGGGCACAAACGTAATTTACATTTGGTCTGCCATGTCTAATGCCTTGTCCATCTTCGGAGCTTTCCTCTCTGATTCTTACTTGGGTCGCTTCCTTGTCATCTGTATTGGTTCTTTCTCAAGCCTTCTAGTATGTCTTCCTTCTATTCTTTTCCTATTGAATGTTCATTTTTTGATTGTTTGGTTTCATAAAGTATTTTTTATTATTTTATTATTTTTTCATTTTTTAATTTTATAATTGCTGCTTTATTTTTTATTTTATTTTCTGTTCTTAAATATTTGCTCGCAAAACGTTGTTTTTAGGGTTTGGACAAAGTGTAATTAATACCTTGTGTGTGTTTTTTGTGTTGTTCACCAATTAAAATTGGAAATTTAGCTTGATAATGTATGCTGGCCTTTATTATGTGGTAACTGAAGTGAAAATTTAATTTTGGTTGGAAAACATCACCAAAAAAATACCTATGGCAGTGCATTTAAATTTTGTCATTTTAGTTTTTCCCTTATAAATTTTTGAGAATAGGAAATAAGGTGAAAATAAGGCAGCTGTTTTGTAATTAAAAATAAAAATAGACAACACTTTCTGAAACCAACCAATTTTGTCTCTCAAATTGTAAGCATTTATTATTTTAATCCTTAAATTTACAAAAAGGATTTCTTACTTTAGGCTTTAATTTTTTTTTAAAAATCACTCGCTTTAGTCATTTTTTTATTGTCATTATATATATAAAACATCAAAATGAATTTCGTTTCGTCAAGTTTGTCGGTTGAGCTTTACTGATTTATTTGCTGAATTTTACAATTAATATAGGTCATCGATATATGTGCATGGTACATGTACATGCCTTTGAATTTGTTAGGGAATTTGATTATTCAGACTTTAGAGGATTTAGCTTTATCTGTGTTTTAAGTAACTTGCTTATATTGAACAACGTGTGTCTATGTGGAAAAGCAACTTGCAGAGATTTACTTACTAATTTGTTTTGCAGTCAGTCACTAGAGTTATGGTAGTGGCATTGTTTTTTTATTAAAACCATGGGATTGACACCAGTTGGTGTTGGTTTAAAAACAACAACAAACAATTGCTGCTGAGACAACTCTTTCATAACTTTATAAATTTGGTACTTCAATTCAACACAAGTACACTTCTGCCCCACCAAAAACTAAAACCTTGCTGGTTGGAGCTGGCAAGAATCTAAATCTTTCATGTTAAGCTTTTATCTATTTTATTGTGGTTGTAAAACTCTAATGCCAAAGAAGGTTGCTTACTATGTACTCCAAGATTCCTACACACTCACATAGTAGCATCAGCTTCTTTATAAATGACAGCCTTTAAACTTATTTCAGATGGTTAATCTGTGTCCCAAGTTGTGAGTATTGCTTAAAGACGACGCACTTTTTTCATTTGTGATTGCTTTAGCTGGCGTAGGCTTGAGTCTTCAGCCATGGTTTTGTTTTGTTTACCCTTTCAAAGGGTGTTCAATATTGATGCATTGCTTTGTTTTCCCAATAAAATATTTTTTGAGAAAACATGAGATGAATGATTCTTTTGATGTTACTTCTTGCTAATGCTGCTTCAAACAGGGTTTAACCCTTTTGTGGTTAACTGCCATGATCCCGGAGCTAAAACCTTGTAATTCTTTCGACCAAGTCTGCAACTCTGCCACAACAGCCCAACTAGCAGTGTTGTTGCTTTCCTTTGTATTTATTTCCATTGGAGCTGGTTGTGTCAGACCTTGTTCCATAGCCTTTGGAGCTGATCAACTAGCAACTAAAGAAAGATCTATAGGTGGTGAAAAGCTCTTGGATAGCTACTTTAATTGGTACTATGCCTCAGTTGCTGCTTCAGTCGTTATTTCATTGAGTGTAATTGCGTACATTCAAGAAAATCTGGGATGGAAAATCGGGTTTGGCATACCAGCAGCGCTTATGTTCATATCAGTTCTCAGTTTTATCCTTGGTTCACCATTTTATGTCAAAGTGATTCCCGGTTATAGCTTACTCACTAGTTTCGTGCAAGTAGTTGTAGTGGCAATAAAGAACAGAAATCTTAGTCTTCCTGAATGCAACTTTGATGAGTATTGTCAAGAGCCTGATTTGGAGCTGATGGTCCCCACTGATAGCCTTAGGTACTTGTGCTTGCCCTCATGATTAAATTATGCATGTTGCATAGAGTCCTATTTCCTCTTAATTTCACTTCTCAAATACTTTTTTCCCGCTTGCCCTAACTAAATTCCATGTAAAAAACAACAAATGATTTATCCAATGTGTATAATAACAATCATTTATTAACTTTATTCAAGGTAATCTTTCTTTTTCTCATTTCTTCATGAGGAATGTTTCAGCCTCCTCTCCACAAATTGTACTTTTCTGGAAATGCAGAATATTTCCATCATATAGCTTGTTCCTATCCTATTAATATTTTCAGAGTGAGTTAACATCATCTTCCTTTATAGGTTTTTGAACAAAGCTTGCATATTGCGGAATCCTGAGACATTCTTAAACCCTGATGGATCAGTTTCAGATCCATGGAACCAATGCACAGTAAGACAGGTGGAGTCACTTAAATCTTTGCTCAAAGTCCTCCCTATGTGGTCCACAGGCATCTTTTTGATGGTGTCTCAAGGCTCATTCTCTACCCTCCAAGCAAAAACCATGGACCGGCAGTTAATCGGTGATTTCGAGATACCTGCAGGATCCTTTACTATTATCATGGTAATAACTGTAACAATAATCATTCCCATATATGACCGCATAGGAGTACCTCTACTAGCAAAATACATGGGCATGCCTAGAGGATTCAGTTGTAAATTTCGAATTGGGTTAGGATTGTTCTTTTCATGGGCAGCTAAATCAACATCAGCTGTAGTTGAAACGATGAGGCGAAGCGAGGCCATTAAAGAAGGCTTTGAGGACCAACCTAATGCCGTGATTCACATGTCAGCTGCATGGCTAGTTCCAGAGTTTGTTTTGCTTGGAATGGGTGAGGCTTTCAACGCAGTTGGGCAAATTGAGTTTTTCTACTCATATTTCCCCAAGAGCATGTCTAGTTTTGCAATGGCTCTTTTCACCCTTGAACTAGCTGCTGCTGATGTAGTGGGAAGTATGATGGTGAACATTGTAGACAAACTCAGTAGTATGGGAGGGAATGAGAGTTGGATATCAACTAACATCAACAAGGGCCATCTGAATTACTATTATGCAATACTCTCTTTCATTGGTATACTTAACTACCTCTACTTTCTTGTTATTTCTTGGGCTTATAGTCGTCCTCAGAGACAAAAACTTGAAGCTTCACCAGGCAAGGAAGATGAGCAATTTGATTACAGGGAGTTACCTGCTTCTTAGGTTACATTTTAGTATGCAACAGTTACTGCAAACATATAAGAATTTGTATTATTGTAGAAGGCGTCTGGAAAACAATTGGTTAAACATATATCTGTGCACTTAAACAATATTTTGGTAATTTCTATACTTAAATTTGTTGTCTGAGAGCCAACTTATTAGTGATATTGATTGTATTTTTGTATTTAACTCTAATTGTTTTATCATCCAGGATTAAAATATAAAGAACCTTGACCGAAGGACATAACTTCTATATATGCACTTAAGGGAGATCAAACTGAAGCTTTTGTAGGTACTGAGAGGCATTTAATAAGATATGGCACGGAGACATCCAAATCTAAAATTTTACTTATAAAGTAAATTTAAGTCATCAATGTTTCAATTTGGCTAACAAATAACTCCTTATAAAATAGTTGTCAATACTTTACTTTTCATACCAATGTCCTGGCTTGATGCTTTAATAATTGTTGCATGAAGAAATTTTCTAACTAATCTAGACTATGAGGTTGCAATGCTTTTCATATTTGAAGAAACTTGGAATACATTAATTTTTAGAAAAATTATTTTTTATAGGATAATATCTCAAATTGTTATATTCATCGTACTTAAAATGTTTGTTATATAGTATTTATTGAAATTAATTTTCTTATTTATCTTACGTAAATTTCACACATTCATAATTTATTTATTATTTTTTCTTGTTCTAAGAAATGATTATCTAGAGTATGAATGACATATTTGAACTCTTCTCATTTAATTATTTCTCCACTATTAATCTCGAATAATCTAAGTATCTTTCACCTCTAATTTTGACCATACATGTCTTTAGAATTGTTTATTCTCTTCAATCATGAGTTATTACACTTCATATTGTACGTTCTTTTCATCATAATCTTTCTACTGTGTGTATGTTAATACACATGCACTAAAGGTCTACATGCTAATATTTACATCTTATTATTTATTTTAATATGATATATTTTATATTTATTTTAAAAAAAATATATAATCATATCTTTAGAATAATAAGTATGATTTTGTAAGTCATTAAATAAATGAGTTGGATGTGAGATTTCAGTTAACCTTATTTTTAAAACTTACTTAATATTAATATTATTATGACAATATATTTTATTAAAATTAATATATGAAAAAAATAATCAAATTTCATAAATCATAGTTAATTGTTATTTTATTTTAGTATCATACAAACATGTTTAATATTAGTAATATATTTATTATTATTAGTTCAATTACAATTAAACAATGATTAAACTTATTATGTGGTAATACTATTGACATCGCATTAGAAGACAATCACAATCAATATCTCCAAAGCCAATATTTTCACTATTGTGATCCACTAAGATCAAAAGAATATAAAGCCTATGTAAGAGAAGTGAAACTCCAAGTCTCAAATATGTGTCAGCTTCCAAGGAATCCAAGCAGTGAAGAAAACTAATGATCATTAAAATGATAAAAGACAGAGGAAGAACAAAATATAACATTGATAGGGAATAATTCTCTCTCTCAATCTATGATGAAAGCAATGATATATATATATATATATATATATATATATATATATGGTCAGCTTACTGCTATCATTATTCATAACGGTATTAAACCTTGTCAGAAAGATAAACTCCAGAAGCAGCTTGCCAAAGAAAAAGCCTTGAGTAAGAAATAATTAGGATCTTTTTGCGAGCAATTTGGCCTTTCATCTTGCTCTCCCAAAAAGAAGAAACATGCCCCTAAGAAAGAGGCTGTTGAACCTTACAAAAAGCCTTACAAACGTAGGTACAATAGAAAACCTAATCCCAAGAAACAAGGGGATAATGTCATCCCCACCAACATTCCCAAAAAACCCAAAACAGGCGTAATCTGTTACAATTGCGGTAAACTTGGCCATATTAGCAAATACTGCAGGTTAAAGAAGAAGATTAGTAGCCTTAATCTAGAACCTTCTATAGAAGACCAGATTAACAATCTCCTTACTGATACCTCTGATGAAGATTCTGTTAAAGAATCTGAGGAAGATGTCAACCAAATTCAAAATGATGACCATATTTCCTCTTCTGATAGTGATGATACTCCAAAAATTAATGTTTTGACAAAAGAACAAGATCTTCTTTTTGAAGCAATAAGTTCCATTTCGGATCCTCAAGATAGAAAAGAATTTTTAAATAAATTAAAGAAGTTTTAGAAAATAAACCTAAACCTAAAGAATATTTTACTTCAAATAAATTTGACATTACAAATATTTTCAAAAGATTAGAAAAGAATTACAGCATTAAACCAACCACTATTCAAGATCTCCAGATTAAGATAAATAATCTCAAAAAAGAGATCAAAGATCAAAGATCAACCACAAATTCATCAAGTTATTCTTTCTTAGTTAGATGATGAATCTGATATTGAGAAAGTAGAACTTCATGAAGATAATGATTCTGTGAAGGTTGATTCTGATAATCTAGAAGAAACCTTTATGTGTTTGATCAACAAGGTCAAAATACAAAAATTTTATATTAACATCAGAATCGTTATTGATGATTTTGTTCTTGATATCTTAGCCCTCTTTGATACAGGTACCGATTCAAATTGTATTTTAGAAGGATTAATTCCTACAAAGTATTTTGAAAAAATTTCTGAAAAACTTAGCACTGCTAGTGGTTCGAAGCTTAAAATTAATTACAAGCTTTCTAAAGCCGTGATTGAAAATTAAGGGCTTAAGATAGAAACAAATTTTCTTCTTGTAAAAAATTTAAAAAATGAAACAGCAAACTTTTATTGAAAAGATCTCAAAGAGGAAAGCTTACAAAGGATTGTTTCTCTCAGAGCTTCTCTCTTTAAATCTCTCTAAACTTGCTGAATGAAAGGGTACCTCACAACATAGTCGATGCCTCCTTATATAGAAAATTAAAATACTATTTGTACAGTTCCGGTAAATAACAGGAACTATTTATATAGATTCTGTTATGTCTATACCATAACAGTCATCTTCATTTTGATAAAAGTCGTCATCTTTGTTGGGATTAGACTCCTGTTTGGTAGAGGTTTCGGCTTCATCTTGATTTAATAGAAGAAAGACTTCTTTTAAGTTTTTCTTCATTTTATCTTTAGAATCACATCCTGATAGGAAAGCGGCAATCTTTGCTTTCTGATTCAGAAATTGGAAAGTTGCAGGATCAGCAAGTTTCAAGAGTTTTGGATTATTTCCAAAGAACTCATTAACTCCTTGAGGTCCAGCATGTTCTGCGTTGAATTGATTCCACCATTTCACAAAAGCATGTCTGTGAATTATAGGAAGAATATCGTCTTCTTCAGTTTTGCTATACCTGTACTGCCATGAGAATACCCAGGCCATTGCAAAGACAGAGAAATACTTGAGATCTGCTCCAATTCTGTTAGGGGCATATCTGGTTTTGAATATTTCAAATCTTTCTTTTACTGGAGAGGGAAGGATTGCTTCTAATGGTCCAAAGAAGTCCCACCATTGAAGGAACCAGTTAGGAAAATTGTAATTTTGATTTTTCTTAAAATAAATTAACCAAGAGTGTCGATTGAGTTTGTTCTGGAACCAGAAGGTCCTTGTCCAGGCATCGATGTAGTCCCAGTAATTGTATCCTACCGGATCAAAAGGTTGGGAGAATTTCTTGAATGTATTTGGATTGTTTCCAAAATTTTTTGGTGATAGGATTTTTAAAATCTGTATTGTTGAATGAGTGATTACCGAAGGATCTTTTTGGTCCTTGTAATGTTTAATAGAGACAGAATCAGAATCTATTAATATGAACTCATAAAATTGTCTGGTTTTATTCAAGGCGTATGGTCTAAAATGAAAACCAGGAGGGAAGGCTTTGGTGATGGCTTTGTATGGGTTTTTGTCCCAAAATTTGGGCTCCATTTGAATGACAGAGGAGAATTTTCCTTTTGCCATATAATGGTTGGTATTTGGGGTTTTACCCTTTTGAAGACTAATGGCTTTCTCTGTTTTGTCTGGGAGGCTTATTGTCTTTTGTGACTGGCTGAAGGACTAGATAATGGTGTTTAGATTTGCTAAATCAATTTCCATGTCTTCATCAGAGGTAATATCTGCCCAAGATTTCTTTGGTAGGTTGTTTAGGCTACCTTGTTGTATGGCTAGAAGTGTATTAACAGGGAAAGCATAGTCTGTTTGGTTTGTTTAACACTCTTTGTTTGTGATTAGGAATTATCAACCTTGTTGGATGAGTCTTTTTTAGGAATCACAGATTGCTGAGTAGATGACTCTACAATCTGAATGGCTTTCTGGGTGAATGACCCAGCCGGAGTAGATGACTCCGAAGAATTAGAACAAGAGTCTGTTGTAACAGACTTTGATTTTGATTTGTTGAGAGTTAGAGCGAGCCTAACTCTTCCTCCTCTGGACGAACCTCCCCTAGAAGGGGCAGTTGCCTTTCTAGGCATTCTACTTATCCTGTAAATATTCACGGGTAAGGTAGTCAGGAAGAGAGTTTGAAGTGCCTTTGAGATATTCGATATCAAAGTCGAAAACACTTAAAATTGCTTGTCATCTTGCAAAGATTTGTTTTGAGGCAAGATTTTTTACATCCTTTTGTAAAATTTCTTTTGCAGACTTACAATCCACTCTAATAAGAAATTTTTGATTTAATAAATCAGATTGAAATTTTGAAACACATAAAACGATTGTCAAAACTTCTTTTTTAACAGTAGAATAATTTTGTTGTGTAGAATTTCAATGTTTAGAAGTATATGCAATGATATGCTCATGTGACTCAATTTTTTGCTTAAGGATACCCCCGTAACCTATGTCTAAGGCATCAGTTTCAACAATTTTAAAGGCTTGAGGAATAGGAAGATATAAGCAATTTATCTTCCTGACTCTATTTTTTATTTCTTTGACGACGTTGGTATGAACATCAGTCCAAGAGGGAGGATTTTTCTTAAGCCTATCATGTAAAGGTTTAATGATGTTATTTAAGTGAGGAATAAAATCTCCTACATAATTGAGACATCCTAAAAACCTTTGTAATTGGGTTTTATCAAGGATTCTGTCAGAAAATTTATCAGCGAACTCAATGGACCTGCTGATAGGAATGATGGTACCTTAGTAGATATTGTGACCAAGGAATCTGACATTGGTTTGGAAGAGACTGATTTTTGATTTAGAAACGGCAAGTCCGTTTTGTTTAATAACATTGATGAAAACATTTATATGTTTGAAATGTTGATC